CTACATCCAATCTAAGATAATTAAGTTTCCTTGTGTGGGAAAATGTCTTGTTTTAATTGAGTTTCGTCCACTAGGCGTACACCCATGTCCCGATCCACTCACCTTATTCGAGTGTTAAACCTTTGGCGCTGCCTGTGCATCCGTTCAGCCGCCTGCAGCTTCCTCCACAGTTATATTGGTTGCCACGCTGTGATCTTGTGCAGTTGTACTAACGACCGTATCGCAATTGGGGTCATATCACTACTAGCAGTAGATCCACGCTTATAAACACCCCGAGACGTTCATCAAATATCAATCTGATGAACTAGTGGCAGGCATCTTCACGATTCGATGCTGTGAGCTGTCCATTTATTCATTTTTCTGAATCAAGTAAAACCTTGGATGACAGCAAACTTGTCATCCATATCATGTACGATATATATATTTCCGTACTGCAAATCTTCTAGCGTGTAGAGAATTCCCACAGCACGTTTGGATAAAGTTATCGATGTGTCTGTTGCTAGGCGTACCGTCATCCTCGTAGCATGAATATCAAATTCAACGAATTGAGCCTTAATCATCTAGCGACTGGAGACGACAAAGTCGTTTGACCACCCGCAGTCAATTACGGCACAAAGTGACAAAATCTCTGTCACTTCTTACTTTAAGGTGATGACTGATACCCTAACCACTTGCAGAGACAAACAAGTGCTGTTAATCTGGAGCAACTTTTCTCAATAGGTTTGCAAATTCTGTCGAGGTTGCTAGTTCAGTAGGGCGCCTCGCCCCTACTGACCCCGACCGTTTTTTACGGTTTGCAACAGCGTCGGACTTGCGTCCGCTACCCTTCTTGACTACGGTATGTCACTTCGCTTAGTATTTCAATATGCTGGGCGTTAAGTCGTAGTTCCCTAACCTTTGACATCGATTGCAATTTACAATCGCCCACTATTTGAAGAGCAAGTTATCTCGCTTTCGACACCGCAGAGATCCAACGGTTTTGGATCTCAAGATTCTACTTGTGTCGAAGGCGATGGGATAAAGACAGTTTGATCCTGTCTCAAAATAAATTCCTCTTTTACCGCTGTCGTTATCTCTTCCTTAGCAACCTCAACTCAATGCAAAACAGGTGGTTCATCATAAGACCGTCTGCAAGGCCATTTAAGAATATTGTAATTAACAAAAAATACTTACAGGGTTCGCCACCATGCAACATGCAAGGTAACGAACGAGCTGAGCGTAAGCGTGAATGTCACAATTGCCTTGCTTTATTCTTAGAATTTTTTAAAAAAGCCCTGAACTCAGCTCTTGGCGACTGAAACGTTTAGCTGAGCATAGTGTTCAAGACCGTCAATGACCCAAACACTTATATTCTTATGTAATCGGAAATTCAAGGTCAAGTTCAGGCACCACCTGAAGAATTAGATTTGGCAAATGTTATTTGCTTTCCTCATCGTCGATGTGGTGAGCCTAGGTTACATCGTCCACTTCAAGGCACCATATCAACAGGGAGGCTTCCTCCACTCCCCGGTACCTAGAGACTTAAAACTTGAAAGTCTCGCGTTGAAGCTCACGCGTCGACCCGCAGAAGTTGACTGAGACTGTCGCTGTCTCAGGAGCTCAGTATTCTAATGACCCTGTTGATGCAGCATAGTCATTTCAGCTCGAGACGTGCCAAGTTATTGTAGAAGACCTTGGCGGTTACAGAATAATTTTGTTCCCTGCCCCTTGGGAATAGTAAATACCAGACAGCTTTTTCGCCAATGGTCAAACTAATTCATTCTACCGGAATCTATTCGACATCACTCAAATAGGAGCAGCTTAAAAGGGTGCCGTGAAAGGTTTCGTCTTCAAATATATTCATGTTGTACGGGTTTTGTGGTCTTTGGGCGGACTAAAAAGTGCTACTAGGGGTAACGGGGCACCAGAGCAACACAGTAGACAACCAGTGTAGAGCTACACTCACCGACAGCAGTGCGAGTGGTGCCTTAATACCTCTGTAAACTATTCAGAGGAAGAGAAAGCACCTAGTAACTGACCATTTGCTGGTAAAAATAAAACTGTAATAAAATAATATATTCCTCATCATTAGCCTATGGTTTTGCCTGAACTTATTTACAATTATCTCCAATAACGTGTGATTACGTCTTGCTCGCCACTCATTGCGCGCATCCGTCGTTGATTGGACCGCTAGAGCTGGCTGATATGATGATCCATACGGTCCAATCAGTGAGTGTGTCTGAACATTACCCCTTTTAGTAATCTTTACGAACATAATTAAGCTTTATAGTAATATTCTACTTAACAAGTATCAGGGCTTAATTGTATGAGACAGACCCACCCCGATACAGAAGAGCAATATGTTAATCATAATGGCATTGCAAATATTAGAATCAGATCGGGTCTAAAAAATGAGAACGGAATGTTTATTTTGTCAGATAAACAATTACTGGTACAATGGTCCAATATTAATTGGTACGTTTAACTTCCCCTGTTAAATTTGAACGCAGACTACAATGCGTTTAGTAGAACCTAAATGCATAAAAGTTGAGCTAAAACCAGATACTTTGTTTCGGGTGCATGCAGCTAGCTTATATGGAATCAAATGTCGTGGTTTACGATAAATACGATATTTTTTCGTTCTATATCGTGTTGCTCATGTATAAAAATGTGCGTGTACGTTCACATCTTGCTGCTCTGCTTGCATTTTTCTAATATCCATGAACGCCATGCAAAATCTTGCTATCGACAAATAAGGTCTGTGCTTTGTAAGTAAAAATTACACGCTTAACTTTTGTTCAGCGCTGAGTGGCCAATGTATCTTCTTGTTTACATAATGCGTGATGTTTTCATTCTCAGAGCTGGTTTGCCTCATATTCGCGCTTCGGTTGTTACACGGAACAGTATGTTAATCGATTTAGTTTCGTGTGAGTGTCACCTCCTCTTCGATACGTATGCATTGTTTTTTTTCTCCGCCGTCTCAAATATGGCTCATTTTCATCCAGAGATAGTGCTGTAAAAATTAATGCTTCGTTGTCGGGAAAGGTACATATTTTTTGTAGAATTCGAGAAACTTATTTTGATGTAGGTAAGCTCCGAACCATTACCATCAACTTCGAAATGAGAAAACGCAGATATACACTAGATGTGACAGATGTACACTAAATGGAACAAAGTTGTGGAAAAAGCTGATGTGTTGGGATGGACGAAGGATCTCGATATCATCCGCCAGGGTTATATTCCTACACTTAATTGTTTCAAATAAAACTAAATTTGTATTTGTCTCTTGGATGCTATCGCCAATAAATTACGATAATCAATCTATGAAGTAATTACAAGCTGGTAGCCACTTTATAGTATAATTGAGATAGCGAGGTGTCATTGTCACGGCGGAAGCGGAATTTTACTGACTTGCTGTTACGCGCCTTGATTTTTCTCGTAAACGTTTCTCGGTCAGCTGCAAAGTCTTTATCGCACTCGCATGCAACATGCACATATTTGCTTCCCTTTTTCGACCACTGATAATATCGGGATGTCAAGGACTGCTAACCGACCTAGACATGGATAGGAATAATTGACGCTACTTATAAAATGATACTGCGAGCTAGAACCTCCACGAAGAAGACGTGGTTGAGTTGGCTATTAAGGAGACGATGCCACAAGCGATGTAGGCGTGCCAAGTGCGGCTTTACACACAGATAATATATACTCTAGCTCATGTGATGATACGGATGGTATGCCACCTGAGAGGTATTCACTTTACTTTCTTCAGTGATGTTTGCTGACGGAGAGAGGTAATACCACAGTTAGACACTGTAAATGTCGGCGTAAAAATGGGAATATTAGCTTGCTCTCGGCGTAATCTACGGGGTTCATCTTCAATGATTCAGATTACATGAGTTCTCAATTCGAATTAAAGTGACTAAGAAATAGATTTGACCACTAATCTTCTACCTTTCCGATGCCTAACATGACTGGATCTGACGCATCGCGTGATGACTTGGCACCGAATTTGACAAATGATACTGCCGCGCGTACGGCGTTCCTACCTAACCAGTGTGAAGCCTTTCCTTCACCCATTACTGGCGGCGCTTCCTCTTCTATCCCGTCATCACTCGCGGGTCAGGGACCTACGACTGCGAAGTCTTCTATTGTTGGACTTCCCTCTGAAGGATCGGTCCGCTTTCCGATCTCTCCAGAGGCGCGCGGCTATGCCGCGCGCCATAAGTCGAAAGGAAAATCTGCCTCGACAGTCTCGTTTGATATCGCCAAACCGTCTGATTGTGACTTGTTGGAGGTATCGATCTCTACGATGATTGGGCGGACCTTAATTTTATTTTACGCAAGTTGCATGAATTAAGCCCAGGGGCTGCATCGGTTTTCCCTTACTCCGTTGAACTAGACGTGGGGTCTACCTTTTTAAAGGTAGGGACATCCAAGTGGGCTGCATCGTTTCTAAGTGGTCACGGCAACGAAAAGGTCGGAGCATTACTTCGTAGCGGCCAGATATATGTTCTGGAACGCTTTTCTAATGGTGATATCTCGATTGAGGCAAAGTCTCTCGATGTGAAGCGCCCTCTGGGTGGGTAACTGGTTACCATTCTTGGTCGCTAGGTCGCGTTTAAGGCTACCAGTGTTTTGGACACCTGCCACTACGTCGACATGTTTGGCGTTCCTGGCTCTATTTCTCCTGAAACCCTTTTCAACCTCCTGCGTTCACGTAGTGCCTCTCCCCTCTACTGCGTTTGCTTGAAGGCTATCCACGGCAGTGCACTCTGGTGTAATCAAGTTCGTATTCATCTCCGCTCCAGCACTCGACCACCTTGTCTTGATGCTGACAGTGAGGCGGTCAACAAATATCTTTTACGGAGGTCGGTGAGTTTCATGCGACACCGTGACACGCCAAGTAATTGACCCCAAGCGCCCTATCACCGCCGGTCACGTCTCGCGCTGGACTTTTCACCCCTTGTTCCCAAGGTACCTGGAGGGAGGTCAATCGGAAACTCTATACGTCCGTCGCCTCAAACCCTGGCCGCTCGGGCATCAGCCGATGAGTCAGCTGGTGCTTCTAGTACCACACCTGGACCCCTGCCGCCTCGTGAGCCCCCGAGCGAATCCACTTCATCGTCAGGAGGTCTTTTGACATCGACCGACGCGCCAAGCGGCTCTGTGTCCGTCGCGCCGAAGTCGAAACCTACGGCAATGAGTTTAAATTTTCCCGTCATCGTAAGCGACACAATGGTTGGGCCGTCGAGCACCTAAACGGTCATGGCGCACGCCCAATTTCTATGAAGCCCTGGCTGATCTTGACGCTCAGCTTGATGTCTTCGAGTCTACTGTTGATGACGATTACTCTGCGAGCCAGCTATGGATCGTGCCTACAAGCGTATCGCCGCCGAAGTCTACCGCTGCGCATGCGGCCAGATGTGCAAAGGCGTTGCATGCCGACGGCGTCGTAACCCGAGCTGATTCAGATCAGACGGTTGGTGATCTTTATGCCGAGTTTAATCTGGACATAACTTTACAGCTGTCTCGTGAGAAAGCTCTGAGTCTTCCAGCCAACAAGTTTAGCACAACAGTCCATCAACTTTTCTGCTCTACTAATGATCCGGGTACCATACTCACGACGATTATAGACGAGCCTGCAGCCATCCAGAAGGTGTTTGCAGACTTAATGCAAACCGAGACTGGACGGAGTCAGCTTGAGGAGGTCATGAACCTCCATTTGACTCAATGTCTCGTCCAGGCTGCTGATCCCGATTGTCGCAAGTCCTTTTTGTCGGCTAGTGCGGTTTTCAGCCTCCCAGATGAACGTTTGACTTTAGTACGAACTGCGCGAGCGTTCGGCCATTTGTACAAGAATGACCATCCCGACTTGGTTGCCATTTCTCGTGCTCTGGCATTCTTTAAGCTGCTTCTCTTAGCGTCTGCTCCAAGGATCATGCAGAGTGATGGTTGGCTGCCACTTGGTTGTGGTCACCCTATTCAGTGGATCGGCGCTGCTTCAATCCGACGACTTTCACTCGATGTGCTTCAGTCTCTTCTCGAATCCCCACTTGGCGGACGTATCGTTAATCGCTGCATTTGTTTTGAGTATGCTGGTCCGGTTGTCAGTTGCCTCGTTAGCCCACGTTCTTCAAGTACCTCGTCACAACGGCGAGTGGGGTGCATGTTCCCGCGTGCCCGTTGCCATTCATTGTTCCTCGTTGCACTGTAGTGATGATGGAGTGCTAGGGTGATCTCACCTTGGTGTGATATACGAATGCTTACTGCTAACATCAATTGCGTGAAGCACAATGGCAATCATACCGTCGAGTCTCTTGTCGTGCCGTACGACCTGAAATGTTTCCAGGAGACTAAATTTCGCGACACTACTCATCGAACCATATTTTTGTACCATGTTTCGAGGCAGTGTCATCATTGTTGCTTCTATTCCGATTTTCAGCCACTTAACTCTCCTATGATTACGCACCCTCGCGCGGGGTGATGACTATACTATCTTCCCGATTTCCGGGCGCGTCTTCTGCCCATATTCCCTCAACCAGTACAATTCCAGGCAGGTATCTTGTCGTCGCCAGTCACACAGGTCGGTAATGTCACTTATCTTATCCACAACGTTTATGCGCCTTGCGGCAGTCAAGAGAAGCTGGAATTCTACTCAGCTCATGTGAGTCAATACTACCCAGAAGGTTCAAGTCACATGTCCTCGGTGACTTTAATCTACCTCATGATGTTTCGATTGACAGCCATTCCGGTGTCATGCGTGACAGTTCTTCCAGAAAATAGTTTAATCGATGGTTGATTTCGCTTGGTTTGGGTGACGCTTAGCGTCGGCACCACCCTGAAAAAAGGTCTTTAGTGGACCTTTACCTCGTGTCACCCGTCTTGACTACATTTTTCTGGACGTCTTGCTCGTTGACCAGCATTATTCGGCTGCTTCTTACTTCGACCGCTCCCACGGTGGAGACCACCTCCTCCACCGTGTGAATTTAACCCTTTCTTTCAAAGACCGCGGGTCGGGCTACTGGCTTTTTCTCGGTGTCTTCTCGACTCACCGGACATTGTGGCTGCCATTTCAGAGGAGGCTGCACAGGTTTTAGATACGATTCGTACAGCTACAAATCCTGGCTTGGAAGGGAAAGGTGGAAACACAAAATACGCAAGACTAGGTGAGAAGGTGAGGTATATTTAGGTACGCGTACGACCTGCTATATCCTGTCATTCGGCAACAAAGTTACCAGGTCGACCGCTACTTTATATACTAGGTAACACTAGTCCTCGCACAGCAGAGGGCCTACGCGCAGACTCCTGTCTCGAAATAATTAGGTTCCTCGAGGTCAGCACGGGGCCCTGAATTACGAGTTGATGGTCGGCTTGAAAGGTCTCCAACCAATGATTGACATCAGTGTCAAGAAAGTTCGAAGCCTCCTGGACCTGACCTGGGTTCGAGATAGCGTGCGTTTGAATAGAAGATCCCGTGTCCATAGCGATATTTGCCAATCGATCCGCCATTTTGTTAAAGTTGCGGTAATGGTGTCCCCAGCTGACGACATCAATATCGTTAGCGATGGCACGTGCTTCGCGGAATAACCGCACCAAGTGTGGCTTGCGTGGAGGGTTGAAAAACACGCAAGACTATGAAAGGTGTAGAGGCACGAATTTGACGTGATCGCACTTGCGATCTTTGGATGCTCGGCAACTTGTATCGTTTGCTAAGGATGAGTACCTTATTACAAGTAGCGCGGATGCTCGGGACCAGCTAGATCGTGGATACACTATTTCGACCTTGCATCAACAACAATACAGCAAGCTTCGACAAGACGAAGAATTTGATACTCACGCGACCAAAATATAGTCCTGCTTGCGCCCTTTTTTTAGACCACCACGGTCAGATCATCGCCGGGTGCCTATTGCAACTGTTTTCCACTTGGACGGCAGCGAGGCTTCACATTCTTCCGAGGTGATAGAGATCTTTTTAGCATCCATTGGGGTGCTCTTTTCGGTGATCCACGATTCTTATTGCAGAGCCGGGACATTGACCCCGACGCCCAAAAACCTTTTCGATTCCATTCAGCGGAAATTATCTCCTGAGCATGCCCTCTATCTCGATAAAACTCTTATTGCGGAGGAGCTTGCTCAAACTATTTGCCATCTGCGCCTTTTGTATGCACTAGGACCTGACGGGTTGTCGACTACTTTCGATAAAATTGCCCTGAACATCTTCGACGAGATTCTTACCATCGTATTTCGATACCAATTATAGCGTGATATATTGCTTCCTTCTCAACTAAAAGCTGCTGTTGTGCTGTTGCATATGTCGGGATCTCACGCGGATCCCGGTAATTAAGGCCAATTTCGAATGATGTAACATGGCGTAAAAATCGTGATAAGCACCTTGACTTACCGAATGCGAAAGCTCATGTCACATTTGATACACTCCGAACAAAAGGGTTTTATTAATGGGAGGTCTCCTCATCATCATAGGCGCTTCCTAAGTGATCTCCAGCACTTATTGTCAAAGCCGGATAAGGATGGTATTGCGATTTTCTTAGATTTCTCAAAGTCTTAAGACCGAGTGAACTGGGACTACTATATGACCGAGTGAACTGGAACTACTATATGTCACAAATTCTTGCTCGGATGGGTTTTTGCCTCGATTAAGACCGAGTAAACTGGGACTACTATATGTTTCAAATTCTTGCTCGGATGGGTTTTGGTCCTCGATTTTACTCTTGAGTCCAGGTGCTTTACAGTAATACTGAAGACCGCTTGATAGTAAATGGCAAGCTGCTGACCCCAGTAGGCGTCACCCAAGGGGCCAAACAGGGTGAAGCTCTGTCCGTCTTCTTATTTCTATTTTGTATTTGATCGCTGGGTAATTTACTGATATCTCGACCGGACTTGGGCATTCCCATCTCACCAGTCTTTTAACCAGCTAGCCTCTTTTTTCGGATGACTCCACTCTGCAGGCACGGTCTCCTGCGGCTACGAATGATCAACTTCAGCTGGTCCAGTTTACATCTCTGGGTTGGGGGCACTGCTTAACCGTGGCAAGTGCAAGGTATTAATTCTCAACCGCCTTCGATTACCAACGTCCCTTCCAGGTATTCCAGGCTTCCTGCCCCATTACCATGTTAAATTCCTTGGCATACTGTTCGGTCAAAGAGATTCTTCGGCCTTAAAACTCTCACAGATCGACAAGCGTCTCATTTATCGATTACGGTTTTAGCGGTATCGTGCCCGTACTCTTTAAGGGCGTATACTCCTTGCCACTTCCGTCGTATTCTCGGTCTTGTGCCAATTTTCTCCTCATACTGAGGTTCCTGAGTCGACTGTACAACGTTGGCAGCAACTACTTGAGAATTTTGTGCTTTATCGCCGGACGGAACCTGGTTATACGCCAGTTCGCCTCATTTCGCGTGAATTTACCTACCTTTCTAAAAGTCATGTTGGCCCCTTACTTCCCCAGCTGGCTGTGTTTCTCAGACGGCATCGTGTTTCCATGACTCATCCGTACATTTCATCAATGGTGTCATCCGCTGGACTCGAACGGTCCTTTCCAGCGGCCATCATTCTTTCTAAAGCTTTGCCACTCCTTCGTGCTCTTCGCTCACCGGATCTTTTTAACATGTCGTATCATCCCCACAGTTCCATTGTACGCATCCGGTTACTTCCCTCTCGGTGGCATTACTCGTGGAAAATCTGGTCAGCAACGTTGTGGCCAGTCAGGTTAATTGACGTACCGATAGCCCTCCTTCATTTACTGACCCAGTCGGTATGATTTTCCTGTGATCCTCTGCTTCAAGTGTCACCTCCGTCTGTTGGACAAGTCATTGGTCCATCCCGCCACTATCGACTTTCACTCGCGGGCCAGTACGGCCTTCGTCGTTTGGCTGATTTCTTGCCCCACTCGTTCAGTTTCCCCTTCCTAGCTGAACTTAAGATCGTTATCTACAACCGGCCAGAGTCATCATTTTGGTATCTCGACATCTCAAGTGGCTCCGTGCTTTATATGATAAGTTGGCATTTATATATATTTTTTTAAGTTACAGCACCTACCGTTGCTTTGTCTACAATTCATTCCGGTAGCTGCGACTAGCCTCCTCTATCAGTTGGCATTTGTCGAGGGCCTCGCCTTTACCTCGCTCCCTAGATTCCACCGTTGATATTACGTGCGGTTGTCAAGGGTGTTTTTAATCTCGACGACGTCTTCACCCAATCGCAGGTGTTTTGGACTCGACTCACGCTGATATGGTCCCGGCCGTTGTCGACTTCGACCGTGAAAATTCGCCAAATCTTCTTCCAGTTGTACACGATCTCTAGTTCCGGCTCATGTTTTGCCTGCTACCAGTTGGCTCGCAATTTTCTTTTCTGCAAAGCAGACTGCCGGGAGTGATGCAGTGCCCGTATGATGGTTGCTCTGCGGCTGTTGAGACTGAGCGCCATGTTTTCTTCGACTGTGCTCCGGCGGCCGAACTTTGGGGTTTCGTTAGCCGCGTCTGGTTCCCTTTGCTCGGCTCTGCAGTCACATGGGCTCATATTGTCCACCCGGCCTCCATTCCTGTGAATACATCGCGTGCCATTGATCCTGGAGCCTTGCGAGACGTTTGGTACGTGCTTCGTGCTATTGTTCTCCATCAGCTTTGGACCCAGCGAAAACGCAACTGTTTTCGACCACTGTCGCCCTTATTCGCTGGTGCAACATGTTTTCAAGCTATATATCACTTTTGCTGCGCATCTTCGGTATACCCGTCGCCAAGGTGCGGTTCCAGCTTGCTATATTGATCATATAGTCGCTGTCTTACGGGCTGCGGGCCATGGTGGAGTTGTCTTTTGCCAACTTCCGCGACCTCTTGCTACTCACGACGTCGCCAGGCTTGTCCCAGTTTACCTTCTGTGTGGCATCTCCGGCTGCTCCATCTGATCTTATCTTTTCTCCGGAAAGTCATTTTTTCAATGTTACCCTGTTGCTGCCAGTTTGCTAACGGTTGTGCACCTATGTACATTAGTGAACATTAGTTGAGAACTCGTAAGGCCAAGTCAATACAGCCGCTTTAAAAGAATAATTCCGATTACATGATTAGGGTAGATACGAAAACAGGATGCTCAGTCCCAGATGTCACTTTGCCGCTGGTACAATCGAAAATTGACGTAAAACTTGTCCCCAAGGCTCTTCCGTCATTTATGTCAGTCGTGATTACCGAGATCCATATTGAAGGCGTCGACGCCGATCGCGGCTAGAATGATATTCCTTTGTAAATAAAACACATGTCTCTGAAAAGAGCTGTGTCGTTCAATAATTCCCTATTCAACCTGTAGTTGTAGTGGAAAGCTGGGCCGAGTGGTAGTGGAAAGCTGGACCGATTCTTGTCAACAACAGCAGGAGGACGCAATTGCCCACTCAGCTCATTATAAATTTGCTTTCATCACATGAGAGCACAATCGCTGCCGTCAAGAACGCGTCAACATTGGACTCTCGATGGATGGTAAACACCACTGGTGAGAACATCCCATCAATCCCTGCAAACCGTGCGCTTGCAATGAAAAAAAACGCTCAAAACAACTTTAGACGCTTGCATTTGCCATGGCACCAGACGCATTAACGCAATTCATGAGTTTGCTCAAGCTTCGTCTAGTTGCTAGAGTCGATCAGCTACGCAAACGTCGAGTGAGTCTTTTCGGCTCTCCATCACAGCAAGCGACGACCAGCATTTCAGGGGACCGCGCACTGCGGGATAGCTTTCTAGACAACGAAGCCGCAATGAGAAGCTATGCCGACGAAGTCAATCTCGAGCGTGTCCGAAACTTGAGCTCGGAAGACCGACAAGCGCTTGCTCGCAAGCGGTCCAGTACAATAAGCTGCGGGGACCAGGACCGACACACGATACCAAACATGTCACTATGTCGGTCTCCTCTCGAGCGCCGAAGTCTGTGACGATTCACAAACACACTGCAGTATCAACTCTAGAAAACGTTGCTCCATCGTACATTGTATTACGTTTTTTTCCCGGGATAATTGTACACCTCGTACTGCTTGAATCACAGCCAACGCTGAATTCACGGATTACGCAAAAAGGACGATCCCTCCACGAGCTTCACGTTCACACTGACCAGCCTTCTTTCAGCTGTCGCCCGTGTCCCTAAAGCTCCAATCCAGTCCCTTTGTCGTGCCGCTCGCTCGCTCATAGATCGCCTCCATGTCATCAGCTCTCTCTCTCTCTTCGCCAACATCACTCTTTTTCAATCCTCCTTATTACTACTTGCTATTTTCCTTCCACAACACGAGTCGTTCACGGTCGTAAAAAGCCGTCTCAGTGCCACCAGAAACTCTGGAGCTCTGGCTCACTGAGTCGTCCTTGTTGTTGTCTCTTTTTGTTTTCCTCAGATGGAGCACGCGTTTCGTTTCTTCATTCCAAACGACATGCGTGTCAAAGAACCGCACACCGTCCGATTGCTCACTCACTCACTCTGTCGCGTCCAAACAGGGGCCGCCGCACGTCAATTAAAATCAACGTCCAAGCGCTCTATTTGACCGAACGGGGCTGGTGGAGCGTCGATCGCACGTTGCGCTTGACGTGGAACGCACTCTTCTTCGGCACATGGACATGTTGCTGCGGCGAAGACTTGGCCATCCAGTTGTACATCTCAGCATCCACGTCAGAACTCGAGCGAAGCTCGCGCGTCTTCTCACTCAAGTTTCAAAAGGAGCTCCTGGTGGCTCTCCATCAACTCCAGCTCTGCCAAAATCTCATTCACTTCGTCCACTTGCTCTAGCTCTTGCATCTCCGTCTCTGACAGCGGGTAGAAGGCAGGATCAAAGAGCTCCTCGTCCGGCACTTCCTGGACAGGCTCCACTGGACTCGCAATCACGAACCCAGCTTTGCCAGGCGAGTGCGGACGTTCCAGGTAGTAGTCGTCCGTGATCGCTGGGGACCAGGACATGGACGGGTAGAAAGGGGGCGCGAGGGCGTCTAGAGACGACGGCGGGAGCGGGGAGGACACCATTCTGGCTCAAGTGCTTCGGGCGTGTGACCGTTTGGACGCAAATTGCAGAATGAGCTTCAAGGAGACGACGCCGACGCTGCGCAGTGCTCAGGGCGGTGGTGTTTTCGTCTAATTCATGACGAATTAAGTAAATGCAAGCGAATGCGCTGGAAAGATCACATGCATGGATGGAATTGTCCAATAGGAGACGAGAGAAGCGCGACGAAAGACCCGATTTCTACCTAAGAAATCGGTCCCCCTAGCCCGCGAGAGCTGAACTTCAAGATAAGCAGCCTATACCGATCGTGAGTCGATGGGATATAATCTACCAGAAACTGTATGATGAACAAACAGTCGCATACAGATAGACAAATCGATATCGTCCGACGTGATGCAGATAGTGGAAGGACGACCGGCTGGTTTCTTTTCTTTTGGTGATTGCAAGCTGTGCGAAAAAATCTGGCGATGAGAAACCGACGGACTGACGCGTCCACACAAAATTTCGTTTGAAACGCTTGCTACCTCCGCGTTGGTAATTTTGGTAATTTACTACTGCACGATTACGTGGAAAGCGCAGGCTCGAAAACCCGAGGAGGTCCATGTTTGTCGTATTTACAGCGTAAATTTGCAAATTCAGGTTCTAGTCATACCGAGGTTTCGAAGCGCAGCACGAATCAAAGGCCGCACAATACGCCGCACTTACTTATGCACTACTTTTGGCAAGTCACGTCATAGCATTACTTCAACCAAACCAAACCCTTTTGTCGCCACCAAGAGCTCCAAAAATGGTGCGCGTGGCGGTCGTAGGCTGCGCTCATGGCTTGCTGGACGACATCTACGCCACGATCAACTTTGTCAATGAGATGGACCCGGCGCATCCCGTCGAGCTGCTGCTATGCTGTGGGGACTTCGAGTGTATGCGCAATATGCGCGACCTCGAGACGCTGGCCTGTCCGCCCAAGTACCGCGCCCTTCACGCGTTTCATCGATACTATAAGCAAGAGAAAATTGCGCCTGTGCTAACGATTTTTGTAGGTGGCAATCACGAAGCGTCAGGGTATCTGCAGGAGCTTCTCTATGGTGGTTGGGTAGCCCCGAACATCTTTTATCTTGGTGCATCAGGCGTGATCAACGTCGCTGGACTGCGCATTGCGGGGCTTTCAGGTATTTACAAGCAGCAGCACTACACTGCAGGACGGTTTGAAGCACCACCTTATGACAACACCACGATGCGGAGTGTGTACCACGTCCGTGAACTCGAAGTCTTCCAGCTTTCGCACTTGCAGCAAGTGGACAAGACGCCACTGAATGTCTTTTTGTCGCATGACTGGCCTCGAGGGATCGAGCAGCACGGCAACTTGTCGCAGCTGCTGCGTCGCAAACCGTTCTTCAAGCAAGAGATCATGACCAATACGCTGGGCAGTCCTGCAGGCGAGTACTTGATGTACCAGTTGCGCCCGCAGCACTGGTTCGCCGCGCATTTGCACGTCAAGTTTGCTGCCGTCGTCGTTCATCCGCATCAATCGAGAGGCGAGAATAAGCCAAATAATGCAGAAGCTAGTGAGACTCACAAGACGGAGCAAGATGCGGCGCCTGTATTGCCGCCATGCGAGCCAGTGACGACTAAGTTCTTAGCGCTTGACAAGTGCCTCCCGCGTAGAGAATTCATGCAGATCTTAGACCTGGCCCCATCAGCAGGTCGTCCTGCACGTCCGCAGCAGACAACGAAGGATATAGAGACCGTCGACATGAAGCAGGATGCCACTGTGGCTGATGAAGGAACTGGGACCAGCCATCGGACTGTTGCACGGTCATCGCGACCAAGAATCATGTTCGACTTGGAATGGCTTGCTGTTCTACGAGCTACACACCACCTTGCTTCAGTCAGTAAGTTTGCACCACGCGTGCCACAAGAGGAGATGAAGATCGAAGATAAGGACCTTGCTTGGGTGAAGCAGCGCCTCGAGGAGTTTGTCGCCGAAAAGAAGCTGGACAAAGCTCCAGGCGAATGGATCACCGACTTCGTAAAGACTGCACCTGGCCACGGCGAGGAACAGGATGGGTCTGTAGTAGTGACGGGCAATCCTCAAACGGATCTGCTGTTGGAGCTGCTGCAGCTTCCGCATGTCATTACGTCGCCGTTTTCTGGCGATGGTGCAGCTTCCAGAGCTGTTGAGGATCCCAATGAGATCGATCTAGATGACGATGAAGATGCTAGTGACCTGGACTCGAAGCCAGTGGACGTCGAAGATCGCACCAGCCGCCATGGACTCGCACTTGCCAATGAAACAGTAGTAACAAACATTGAGATAGCCGCACCTGCAGACCTATGCGAAATCGACCTTGACGGAGAATAAAAGCTGTTGCCAAACTTCTGGTTCTAGTTGAACACTTCAGAAATAGCAGTCGACATCCGCCGCGTTTTGCCTGCGCGGGATCTCTCAGACCAACCGAAGGACAGAACGCTGCAATGAAGACGTGGGTGAGAGAAGCAACAAAACGCGTGCACCAACCGCACTTCGGACCCAAGCTCGAGTACAAGGTGGACAAATCCCTGCTGTAAGACCCGTGTCTGCCATTTTCCATCCATTCTCGCAATTGTGACTTTCCAACCGTGTTCGCTGTCCAGTGATCCTGCCTTACAATCGGCATTTGTGCAGCTCGAATGCGATAAAGCAACCTGCTCGTTCCTGGATGTACGTAGTCGCTCAATCTTTATCACTTGAGGCACGGGGTTCTTACATGACGAGCGATGCCTCCAGACCTGTACTTCTGGAAGTCTATGGGAATCGCTGAGCTCCAGCTTGCTCGGACTCTTTTACTCCCTGACCGACGTTAATGGAATTCTCGGACGTACGTGAGACCAAGAGCTAGCATCAACGTGCTCTTTTTGTTGCAAGATTGCACGCTAGTAGATAGGCGCTCGTCATCTCATGATGCTCTTCTCGTGCTCTTTCGCGTCTCGGCGGGCGGTTCAGGTGGTCAGATGTTCGTACTCTCACGTGCTCAAGTCCAGCAACTTCTTCACTTGCAGCAGCCTGAGGTTGGAAGCAGGACATCGCTGCTCGACATTGGAGCTGGAGACGGCAATGTGACAGCGTCACTCGCCTCGTTCGTCGACCAAGTGACCACGACTGAAGCTTCGGCTCCCATGGTGGCTCACCTGAATGCACGAGGCTACAACAGCGTGACAAACGTGCGACTTGCAGCACGAATTCGTGCAGTCGCGTAAGCCGTACAGCATCATAAGGTGCGTTCGTCACACATAGCAGCTTTTGTTCTGCTTCTGGTTTGATGCAAGTTCTTCTTTAACACTCACTCGATGAACCACCTCGTTGTGCGATGTGCATCAAGCATGCTAAACGTCCTCGATCGCGCAGATCGGCCCCTTACAATGCTTCGCGACATCCGTGAACTGCTGGAGCCAGAGACTGGTGTCTTTCTACTAGCTGTAGTCCTGCCATTCTCAGCGTTCGTTGAAGTGGGCACGCAGCGCCTCGCACCGGCTGAAACGCTGTCAATGCAAGGCGGACTATGGGTGGAGAACGCGGCATTTGAGGTAGCAGCCAACCTGCTGTGGTGCAATGTGTTGCGTCCTGCAGGCTTCAAGCTCCGCCATTTCAGTCGCGTGCCCTACTTGTGTCGGGGCGACCTCCACCAACCGTATTACGTGCTATCCGACGCGATTTTCGTCCTACAAGTTGGCGATAAAGGAGCTGCTGGAGGAGGACGAAGCTAAATTGGACATGCATTGAGTGCAACTCGCTCCAAGCGAAGGCTTTTCAATCGGAGACCTTCGATTTCAAATGCCGCGATATCTCCATGATTGACTGGATGACTCAACTGTCTGATACGACCAGGACAGGAAAAAAGTGACAACCTTGGAATCAAGGCGGTGCCCGCCCGTGTTTCGAAACACGACTACTTCAGTGGATGTAAAATCGACTGAGAGCGAGCTCGACCATCGCACTGAAAAACGTCGACGCTGGTGGAAAGCACCAAATTATCATCCGGTTTTTCAACAGCTTCTCGCTGGTCCGGCGCTACAGTTTCAGCAAATCATCGACGAGATCTCGTCGAGAAGCAGACCCCAGTGGTAGAAAATCAACTTCTTTTTTTTCAGTCACTGCATAGACAGTACCCGTCACGCGCTTTACACTTGCTGTTTGTATCCCTCGCTCCCTCGCACGCCCTCGCTCGCTCCGAGCCTACTGCCACCGTACTTAGAATTCAATTCGCGCTGCCACCCGCAGTGAAGTAGCAGCTGCGTGACACACAAACTGGCCACAACAAACAACGACACAATGCACGCAGTCGCTCGTCTCACAGAAGCTCCGGCGTCGTCACCACAAACGCTCGAGGCCGTCGTCAGGTTGAAGCACAAGAGCGTCCAGGAGCCACGAAGCAAAGCATCGAGCAAAGAAGGAGAGAGCTCCACGGTGGAAAGCGGACTTGAGGCGGACATCCAGGAGCCAATCAGGAAGCGCGTGCGGTTCAACGTGGCTGAAGTCGTGGAGTTTGAGCCGACAATGTGGACCGCTACTGTCTCGTCTGAAGGTGTACCGGTAAGCAGGAGGAAAACGAGAGATGTGGACGAAAGCTTATTGACTGACTGACTGTTGTGGTTGTGGCTGTGGCTGTGGCTGTGGTTGGTACACTTTAGCTTGGTATGTCGGTGGACGTCCGGCGTCGGACCAAGCGGCTGCTGGATACGTACGAGATTGAGCGTGTCGTGCAGCGCGTCGGCCGTCAAGAGTACATGGAGTTGGGCTACTTGGAACCGGACGAGCGGCTGGACATTCTCGAGAATGCTGGCCACTCGATCTCGGTTTTGAGTCGCGTGGAACACGAGACGTTCCGGATCAACCGTGATCGATGGGAATCGAATGAGTACGATCTCATGTACCAGTACGGTTTGGGAGAGGTACCGCTGCTGATGGAGGAAGACGAGTCGCGTATGCGACAGCCGGAAGATGATGGAGACGATATTATGCTTGTGGACGATAGCAGTGAGGATGACTTTTTCTTTGGCAGCAGTAGTGCCCGGAATATGGTGGTGGACTCTGAAGTACGCTTTGCGATGGAGGACATGGATGCGTACGACGCTATTCATGTGCGATCGTATGACGACCTCAGTATTGATTACGCTTCGGACTGTATCTTGGGTGACAACGATAGCTCGGACGAGAACAACGAGCTGCCGTACGCCATCGACTCGTTCGAGTCGCCTCAGGACTGCGACTTGCTGGAGATGGGCACATCGCCGTCCGACGTCTCTGGTACATCCGACTGCGTGCTGGGTGCAGTAAAACCTCCGAGCTGTGCTCAGTTGTTTGCTAGTTCCACGGTCAGTGCTGGTCGACTATCCGAGTCTGGCAGTTCCGTCATTGCAGCAGAAGCAGCTTCGGTTGTCGCCGTGTAGATACACTGGACGTCTCCAGAACGTCACCACGACTCTCTCTGTGTGTTACTGTCTACGATGTAGATTATTTGCTGGGATGGGTCGCTCGCACCGCACCTTTTGTCAAGTCGACCTACAATGGAAGAAAGTGTGGTGGTCTATATTTCCACCGGGCGGTATTTCGTCAACAGGGGCTGGATGCCATGTTGCACGTATCGCCCCTTTCACCTGTGGATAGCAACCACAATGTCTAATTATGCGTCGCAGTGCAGTGGTCTGTTTCGCTGACCTCATGTAATGAAAGCACCTTCAGTCATTATTTATACACTTACTTGACCACCCGCCAGCACAACTCCATCCATAATCAGGATGTTGAAGTCACACAAGAAACACCTGTCCAGTCATCCATCCTCTCAACGGTACCGACCGACCGACCGACCTCTCGATAGTGACACTGTCGGCTGGTCCACACCCCTCCCCCCTTTCAGTCGATCCAGAATCCAGCCGTATTCGTACTTACCTGAAAAGCTCCGATCCTGATCCCGTCTCTCTCTCTCTCTGAGCCACAGCTGCCATCAAATACTTTCGACTGCCTGAGTACCGACTCGATGGCGCTCTCTTCCGTCGCGTCGCGTCTGTCGACTCGGGCGCTACGAAGCGTGCGCGCCGTTGCAGCTGCCCGCTCGCTCTCCTCTGGATCTCCGTTTGATCCTCAGGTTCCGCACTACGACGTCGTGGTGGTTGGCGGGGGTATCGTCGGCTCAGCTCTAGCATGCCAGCTCAAGACCCATCCCGTGTTCAAAGACAAGCACGTGGCTGTGATTGAGACAACTGCACCGTCGGACGAGCACGAGGAGCCTGATGCCCGTGTGTTCACCATCACGCCAGCCAGTAAACGGTTACTGGAGACCACCGGGGCGTGGGACTTGATCCCTCCTGGACAATGCGCTGCGTTCAAGGACATGCAGGTCTGGGATGCTATGGGGGACGGGTTCATCCGCTTTGAAGCCAAGAAGGTCGATCGACACGATCTGGGACATGTACTGGAGCACCGGGTGCTCGTGCAAGCGCTGCACGAGCGGATGAAGCAGCTCACAGCTGCTTCCGATCACGGTCACGTGCCGCTGAAACTCTACTGTCCAGCCAAGGTCAAGCACTTTCAGCGTCCGACAGTCGTGTCGGGTATTTCCGACATTGGACTTGAAGATGGACACCGCATGAAGGCGGATCTCGTGGTTGCAGCAGATGGCGGGAACTCGATCATCCGCACGCTCTCAGCACTTGGAACTTGGGGCTGGGACTATGACCAGCAAGCTGTCGTAGCTACGGTCAAGACGGACAGTGTCAATGAGACCGCCTGGCAGCGCTTTTATCCTACGGGTCCTGTAGCTCTACTGCCCATGCGTGATGGGTACTCGTCCGTGGTGTGGTCGTGCTCGGCTGACATGGCCAAAGAACTCACGGCACTCACTCCAGACGATTTTGTCGCGCGTCTGAACGATGCGTTCTCGGCTCCGTCAACGACCCATGCACCACCTGAGTTCCCTGGCATTCCAGTGCTGTCGGACTTGGTCAAGGGGGTACACCACGCTGCTAGCACGATCTTGTCGGCAGTAGCTCTGGTGGAGCCGTTTGTTGCCCCACCGAAAGCTGTAGCAACGGTAGGCAACCGGTACTCGTTCCCGCTGAAGTTGAAGCACGCGACCAAGTACATTAAGCCTGGTCTTGCTCTTGTTGGTGACTCTGCGCACACGATCCACCCGCTTGCTGGTCAAGGTCTGAATCTTGGCCTGGGTGACGTGCAGGCTCTGAGCAATCTTCTTGTGGAGGGTGTCAAGTGCGGTGAAAACCTCTCGAGCCCGTACTTCTTGCAGCAGTACGAGGACGAGCGAATGAAGACGAATGTCACCATGCAGCTGGCCTTAGACGGCTTCAAGCGGATGTTTGGCCCTACTCCAGACGCCGTGTCTGTCGCACGCAACGTTGGTATGGGCACGCTGAACGCTGTCGAGCCGCTTAAGAACCAGATCATGAAGTACGCCATGGGGTTGTAGACGCTTCCAGGCAGAGCTCGGGGCAGATGGATTAGCGGCGACTTGGTGTTGTCGTGTCATACAGATTCTGTCGTCTGCAGCAGCCAGAAAAAAGGATAAACAAACGCGAGAGAGCTCTACGTAGGATTGACGAGCACCTGGCCTTAACAACCGGCCTTATGAACTATCTACTCGTGCTTCAGTCGCTTCTCTTGCTGCCGCGTCGCTGTAAACAAGTGGCGGTTGACTTCAAAGATGGAGATATCCCCGATACCGGGAGTAGCTTCCGTGTCATCTTCAAAGCACGTGGCGCCTTCAGGTAGCGGCACCGTATGCGTATCAAGAATCGTGGCATACGATCCAAGACTCGGGGTCGACAGCAAGTTGACCGCTTTATAAAGCACGAGCGAGAAGAGATACGTCATGACGAGCATTGCTGGCACGGCCACCGCCCAATGTTTGGACGGGAAGTAGGTGAAGCCGTAAGCTTCTAACGTCGTATCTGGTACGTACGCCCACACTAGGAACAGCACTGCAGCAACAGACAAACAATCGTTACGATCAATAAACAGCCGTCGCTAGAACTCGAATTCGACGGCATCGACTGACGGATTATACAACCACCTACCGTAGCAAAGGGCAGATGTCAACCATCCCCCGAATCCAAAGAGTTCCATGCGCATCGCATGCAATCGCTGCATCTCTCGGAACGAGACTTGGCTCGATGTCGAAGGTGTCGCAACTGCCGCAATCTCCTTGCATTTTACGGCAGCATTGACATCGGGTAGGGGGCTCAACAGACCCGTTGGACCATCAGTCGACGTCATCATCCCCTTCTTCCTTGGTGTCATGGTCAGTAGTAAATGTGTCGATGAAAAGTCGAGTCAGACGGACTGGACTGCTCGCCAATCATCCGGTTACTGGTAGTACTTCTGCTGCATGAACCGACGACTCGTCGAAAATGTCCCCACTCACCATCACCAAAGTGTCCGTGTTAGACATTTGAGACCGGATTGCTCAGTGCTCGCTTCACCTGCTCTGCACGTGACACTTTGTGCCGCAACTTGCGGAGAAACCCAATTGGAGGTGCCCCCGAGAGCGGATACACGTCGTCCGGGTCGATGGTTTTCGCCAGACGGAAGCAACGGGTGCAATGCTCGTCCTCGAGCTCACGCCGGGTCATGATACCGCGTACGTTATTATGACGATCGACAACAACGAGATGCCGAAGACCAGCACTTCGGAAGAGACGGTAAGCGCGCACGAAAGGCGCTTCTTCCTGGATCAAGTACGGCGTCTGGTTCATGTAAGGTGTCAGGTCCACCCACGACGCTCGGTCTTCCTCGGACAGAGTATACAGTTCGTCACCAGCTATTCGACCGGCATGAGCTGCTGCTTGGAAATTCCGCTGCGTTGGAGCTGGGATCGGGTACCGAGGATAATGAGCCTCCATGTCGTGGTACGACAAGCAGTAGTTGCTAGCAAGAGGCGATTCCAGCAGCTTATCGTCCACTCGGGGCGTGCCATTTGCTTCCAAATCCCTTGGCCGACTGCGGCGAGAATTTCCGGTTGATGTCACGTCGGGTCGGTAAGAAGCAGGGTGTGGCTGACGATGGAATGGCCTGGGCTTGTTGACGCTGAAGTCATGATAGCTCAGTAGCACATTCAGCTGCTTTCGCAAGATCACACCGGCGAAGAAGTGGCTGCCAAAGGTCGGGTCCTCTACGATGACGGGGAACGCGTTGTGCTTCGTGCTTGTGAGCAGATCGAAAATGACACCTGCACGCTCGACGGTGCGTAGTGTCTTGGGATTGGGAGTCATCGTGTGCTTGACACGTAGAAAAGCACCGCGTGATGGCGGATTCCAGTCCAGGAACGGCACGTGACGCAGGTGGATATAGATGTCGTAAATGCCCTCGTTGAAGTAGTTCCCCACCCAGCGAGCAAAGAAGGATGTGAGAATGAGTGGTAGACCAAACTCGATATTGCCCGTGCACTCGAGCATGATGACCGTGAGCGAGATGGTCATACGAGTGACCCCACCGAGCATTGCCAGGCTTCCCACGAGTCCATACGTCCGTGGATCAACGGTCTTCATCTGCTGTAACCCCGTGAAGTAATTGATTACTCGAGTCCACAATCGTCCATAGGCTGCGCCGACAAGCAGCGCCGGCACAAACAGGCCACTTGGTATCCTAAGACCGTAGGTCAAGCAGGCCAGCAAAAGCATCATGAGCCAAAACACTACGAGGTTGCGTACGTCAAAAGAGTCTGGTGGAGCGTGGAACAAGTGCTTGATAGCTGTTTCCCCTCCCGTTAGCATCAGCGACGCCAAATCATTGTACTGGCCTTCTGGGCAGTAAAAGCGCAGCAACTCTTTCTTGTATGGATACTGCACGGTCTCGTCCGTTTGGAAACACTCTGCGCCTTCCATCGACACGCCTGCGCAGCTCTCACAAATACAAGCTGAGCCATTCTTCTTCAGCATTTCCATTCCAAAGACGAACGCTTTGTTGGGTGCCACGGCCGCACTTGCTGCGTCTGCAAGATGAACGACATCCTCACGTGCTTGTGGAAGAACGCGGCATTTACCAAGCAGGAAGGGTGTAGAAAACGAAAGTGATGAGATCAGCACCGAAAAGAGCAGTGCCTCTAGCCAAGCGACACGACTCGTTCGCACCCACCGAGACCGTATTCTCGCGAGACGCGTGTTGAGACCGTTGAACAACGCGCCTTGCAGTCCACCACCAATGCCCATCATCACAAACAGCGGAACCTCCCATATCTGGTACGTGCTGGATGTGAACGGCCCGAAGCTGAAGCTTCCTGTATGACTGCCAAGCGTGCCCCATGACAGGTTATCATTCATGCCGGAGAGAAAAAAAGCCAGTGTGAACGTTGCCGACATCGCGCAGAACAACGTCCTCCACGTGAGTGTCTGATTCCAGAACGATGCACCTTCCTCCAAGACGAACAGAACTCCACCAATGGGCGCTCCAAACGCCGAAGCGACACCAGCTGCGGCACCGCAAGCTACAAAGTCTCGTTTTTCTCGGTCATTCCGGAATCCTCCAAAATAGGAAAAGCTACAGAGTGTTTGCCGTCAGCCGTGTTCCATCTCAACTCCAGTGTTCTCATTCCAGCTCACCTCGTATCATAGCCTAGCGTCGACGACTTGCCTTGGGAAAGCCCAGCTGCAACGATGGCACCGCTATACAACACCACATTCAGTTATCTCTTCTAGGTCAAAATGAAGCAGCTTACTAGTCCAACCTATGGATCATCGGTCCTTCTTTTCCTACGGGCAAACCGCCAGCGACCGAGCACACTGTTCCAATGATCTTGCAAAAGAACGTGCGTAGCCGTAACATGGACGGGATCTTCATTCCATTCAGCGTCGTCTTGACTTCAGAAATACCTACACACAAGAAGCCGGTACCACAAACCAAAAAGAGTGCCACCAACCACGTCAACCACAACCGTCCACGAATCACCCACAGCCTAGTATCAGCTTTCACTAAACCTCCATTTGGTACCTGATCCAGCAGCTACTGGTTCCCCAAAAGACGTGACCGTTGCCGCAAGTGCCACCAGCCCAAGATTAAATGCTACGAAACTCCAGAACGTCGTGCCAAACAGCACGTGCTTGGTCACCTCGTGGCGGATCGTGGACTCAATCAGGTGATGCTTAACGGACGTGAGCAGCGTCGTAAAGTAGAGCAGAAAGACTGCAACGAGGGCCGTGATGACGCCCGTCGCGAGCGTGAGGAACCAGCGCGCGTAGATCAACCGGTTCTTCTCCTGTCCATTGCGGTACTTGTAGCCCATGCCAAACTTGTTCACGACACTCTCGAACAGATCTGTGCAGCATCGTAGTATAAGAATAAAGAGTCCTCATCATAAGAAGAAGGAGACCCCCACCACCACCACCATGAAAAATTTCATTGCCAACCACAGTTTGTTAAATTTGATCAGGACCCTGGAAATGGACACAATGCATCATCAAGTAGAGTGGGATGTCGTACCGTAGTCTAAACTCTCGATGTCGCTGCTTTTCCACAACATGGTGGTAGGTGGGTGGGTGGGTGGGTGATTAATTCTGAGAGACTGAAAAACCAATTATGAAGGCCCGAATCGACGAATCGATCGACTGCGATGGACTGCGATTGCAGCGAACAACTAAATGAGCGACTGATGGAAAGAGCGAGAGTGATGGTACAGACGACGCGAGCATCCAAATGACCGGCCGATCGGCAATACTGATGGACGCCTTGAAGAGATATCGACCAATCCGAGCAAGCGGCGAGTCAGAGTGTACCCATCGCTCAAACATCGTGGAGAGAACCCAAAATAGTAGTCGTACTCATTCCAACAAAAACTGTCCGACGAGCTGTATGAATGAAAGAGCATGAACGTTCGTGCTGCGGACAAAAATCTGACTGTGCGACATAGCTCTGGAACTGTTGTTCCGACGGCATATCAGCTATCACGAGTTTTGTTTTGATACACAGCCAGCAACGTCGCTGTTTGTTCCGATCTATTAAGTGTACAAGGTATACAAAAGCCAACACAACCCTCTGATTCTTCATCGCCTCGACGCCAGTAAATAAACGACCGTCTGCCATGTCGCCGCACCACGAGCGCCTCACGCGCTTCTACCGGAAATACAACGCGGACAAGCTGCATGAGATCGACGGTGTTCTCGAGCGGTTCAAAGGACGTGAAGCACAGCTGTTTTCGGCGCTAGTGAAGAAGTACGGCCCGGAACCAGCCGAGGACGAGGTCGTCGAGGTCGCAGCTGCCACGCTGGACCTGTCAGAACCAGCTGTTTCGGATTCTAGCCAATCAAACGAGTCGAGTGTGTATACTTCTCAGCGACTGCTGGCTTTTTACCAGCGGTACAATCCTGAAAAAGTTGACGACGTGCCGCAGGTGCTGGCCAAGTATAAGGACAAGGAGTCGCAGCTTTTTGATGCACTGGTGAAAAAGTACGGACCGGAGCCAGGGGACTCGGACAGTGAAGGAGACGATGAAGAGGAAGAAGAGGCAGAGGATGGAGAGGTTGAACAAGATGAAGAGGTGAGCAGCTCACCTAAGCTGTGCAGCGTGGTTTACTGTCCAATTGACACGTTCCCGCCCGAGTACTGTGAGTACGGCCCCATGTTCAATGAGTGCAAGCCGTGGCTGGTTGAGCACTGTCCGGATCTTGTGCTGACCAAGTACAATCGCACGGTCGCGGAGCTCTTGGAAGTGGAGCAGCAGATTGCTGATGGCGTGGAGGGTATTTCGCTCGAAGTGGAGGGCAAGACGGTGAAGAAGAAGAAGAAGAACAAGATCGAGGAGGCGGCCAAGCGGAAGGAGAACTGTATCGTGACGATCTCCAAGAGCTCGCGGAAGGGCCGCAAACGTCTCACGTTTGTCACGGGGCTCGAGGATTTCGAGGGCGTGAATATCAAGGAGGCCTGCAAGAGCATGGGCAAGAAGTTTGCCTGCAGCTCGTCACTGTCCAAGACGGACCAGGGGCAGCACCAGATCCAGCTGCAAGGCGATTGCGTCACGGAGCTATTGGACGTATTGCCAGATGTTTATGGTGTCCACGAGGACCAGATCGTTGTCATTGACGAACCTGTCAAGGCAGCAAAGAAAAGCAAAAAGTAGCTGAAGTGTCGCTTCGCATAGCCTCCCTCCTGCTAGACGATTTGATCCCGCAACCAATACACGATAATGAGTGCTCGCAAACTGTACCACATGCTCGCAAACTGCATCCTATGCTCGCAAACTGCCTCAAATGCTCGCGAACTGCATCACATGCTCGTGAACTGCATCCTATGCTCGCGAACTGTCTCAAATGCTCGCGAACTGTCTCAAATGCTCGCAAAATGTTTTTCTGCCATTCGACGGCCCAATTCGAGAAGAGAGAGCAGCATGAGTGACGAGATCCTCGATGACATGTCTCTCTCGGACGACGACCTACTGGACACTTTGGCGGACGATATGCTGATGGAGATGAGCGCGACACCGACGGTTCAACTCGCTCCAGTCTCCACCTCTCCAGTCTCCCCTTCTTCATGGCCACTCGATATTACACCAACCCCTAACGCCGTCGCTCTTCCAGCCACGATGCCGGATCTAGGTCAGATGATGTCCCAGATGATGCCCATGATGTCCCAAATGTTCGGAGCCAATGCAGGTGCCAGCTCAATGTTCAATGGAGGAGGAGGAGGAGGAAGTGGCGCGGCCTCACTGCAACAAGTGCCAGTGTCGTGGCAAGAGCTCGTGAAGCGCCACGTGCCCAGTCACGAGCAGGAAGACTGGCTCAAGACCATTGACAAGGACGTGATTAAGCTACGCGGTCAACTCAGTACCTCTGGAATTCGGAAAAAAACGTGCAGTCGTTCGTACTGTACGAAAGCTGCACTGATACCCAATGCCTCTATGCAGGTCAGCACGATGCTGGTTGATATGCTGCATGAAGCGGTACGCTCTGCGCAGCTGGAAGATAACCAGAAGTGGCAAGAGCTGAAGAAAGACATGGCTTCGTATCTGATGAAGACGGGAATGACGAAGGTGTTCGAGAGTAAGTTGAAGGAAATGCTACGACAGCGCGTAAGCAACGATCTGGACTTTGTGGCCGAGAAGACGAGCGGACGCTACGGTAACATTGTGGACGCACTGGCAGTGTAGGGCCGATACCATGATGGCTACACGAAGCGACTCTTCATGCTGTAATGTTTACGTCCTTTTTTTCGGTACTAGAATCGTAACTCGTTTGCTGACTTTTGCTGTAAGGTTCCCAGCATTTAGCATTCGCAGAATGTTTATGCACACGTTCGCGCTAAGAATAGATTCTGCCGCTGCTGTGTTAACACGTGACTCGATTGTCGGCAGCGTCATCATTTCATGCGACACGCCACTCGCACTGATTGGCCGAGACGTCAGAGTCTCATTTCATTCCAGTCGAGCAGCTCCAATGACGACTCTGCGGGTGACGAGCAGAGCCACGGGCCGCAAGCTGCGTCTGCTGTGCCTTCACGGCATCTACCAAGACGCAGAAACCTTCACGGTCAAGACGAAGCCATTGCGTGGCGTCAGTGGGACCGCCAACGTGGACTTTGTCTTCCTGGATGGACCCTTTTCCGTTGTTCCGCCGATTCTAACGCGTCCAAACAAGCGACTGCGTAAGTGCCCGAGCACCAGTAGACAAAAGAAGAAGTCGGAGTATCGCGCGTGGTGGCGGCCACTCGGTATTCATGAGGAAGTTGACGCTGGCCGCTTGGCTAGAGACTGGGACGTGCTTGTGAGCTTTTTGCGCGAGCAAATCGACGAGATCGGCGACGTGGATGGTGTGTTCGGGTTCTCGCAAGGAGCGAGTCTAGCGGCGTGGATGTGCTCGAAGCGCGTACGTCAATGTGTGAGGAGGAGTGAATGGGTCGTGGCGGCCGAGACTGACCTGATTTGTGAATACGGTGATGCAGGCACGTGCTGAACTACGATGGTCGCCCAAAGTGGCCGTGCTGATTGGAAGCTATGTAGGTTCTCCGCAGTTCTCGTTGGACTCGGGTATTGTCCCGGACATCTCGTCGCTGCACATCTTTGGCTCGAACGACTACGTCATCCCGACTGCCAAGAGCCAGCAAGTGGTCGATATATTCAAGCAACAGCAGGTGCATGCAGCTTTCATTGCGATCTGGATGTACTTGCATGTACTTGCATGCTATACTGATGGGGTCCCAATCTTTTTGCGTACAGACGGTCGAGAACTGCGTTTTGACTTCCGTGCACGCCCAAGGTCATGTGATCCCCAAATGCGACGAGTGCAAGGAGCTATTCGAGTCATTCCTAATCCGCCAGCAGCTGAGATTGCTCAGTAGATCGACTCATTCTTCTTCTATGGCCGTTGACTGCAACAACGTGAATGCCTTGGAAGTAGCTACTACTGGATCAGAGCTCTGTAGCTCTCCAGCAACCCGGTGGTCTCCTCCGTGTAGCCATGTGTCTTTTCAGCCAACTAGATAATGGATTGCAGCTTTTTCGACCAATGATCAACGACCACCGTCAACGCCACGAGTGTGCCATCAATACTTCTCATCAGTCGAAAAGACGGGACCAGAGCGAACTCACGACCATTGTGACCGAGCCATGTCTGCCGAAGACGTCGCCAAAGCCTTTGTGCAGCACTACTACACGACGTTCGACACGAACCGAGCGGGTCTGGCCAGTCTCTACGTACGTGTCGCCTACAAAGTCTTCGTTTTATACTTTGAAATCTGTGGTTCTTGTGTGTTGATACTAATTGAGACTCGAAACTGTAGCAAGAGGGATCCAACATGAGCTGGGAAGGCCAATTGTCCACGGGTCAGCAAACCATTGTGGCCAAGCTGCAAGGGCTGCCCACTGTGCGTCACGAGTACTCGACCGTGGACATCCAGCCGTCCACGTCGGGCAACGCCATGATCATCTTTGTGCAGGGCAAGCTGCAGATCGAGGAGAACAACCCGATCCAGTTCACGCAGGTGTTTCAGCTCGTGGCTCACCAGCCGGGCCAGTACTACATCCACAATGATGTCTTTCGTCTGCAGTACGGATAAGCGGGTGATGCAGTTGCCAAGAGAGGTTGGACGTGGAGCGACGTGAGGCCGTAGTATGTCTGCTTTTCTGACGGACAAGAGAGCGACGCAGGAAATGGATAACCAATGAATAGATTGCTTCCTCTCGATGACAAGAAGTTGACGAACTTGTGATGTCGGTCGTCCTGGAACAGCAGCTGCTCGTGTGTATGCCACTTCGTCGCGTCTGTTGGAAAGGATCCACGAAGATTTCTCCGGGGTTTAGTGTCCCTTAGCTCATGCACCAGAAGGAAGAGAAGCTGGGATTTGGCACACAGCGCGCCAATACTCATCACTAGTGCCGCCCTGTTGCTGTCTTCCTGCGGTGAACAGGGTGCAGCACTTTACATACGAGACTCATCCAGCAGGATGACTCATTGATGCTGGCTTTCGGACTGCTAGGCAAAGGGCGATGTAAACATCTATCGATCATTTAATCTTTTGTGACTCTCTGTGTCATACGACGCCGATCCGATTGCAAAGTGTTCAGCTAATCGACTTAGCACTCGCTAGACATTCCCCTCGTTCGCCGCTAAAACCTCATTTGCGCTTGTGTATCAAAAGTTGTGATGCTACACACTAGCACAAGCGACGATCCCATCGCTTCGTACTACATTCAAAGAGTGATAGATGTCTTTAATTGTGCAAACATAGTATAGTCCATCTGTATCGCATTTGATAAAATATGAAAAGATGCTTGTGACTAGGACAACACTCGAGCAACATCATGTTTTCGCCAGCTGAAGCAAGAGTCGTAGATAGTGTCGACCACACATCATTGCAAAGCAGGAGCAGATTTACAGCCAGTCGAAAACGCGCAAGAGGGAGGAGGCCGATCATGGTAGAGCTTCAGTAGCGACGGTAGATGGCTCAAGACGTCCCGCATTGACTGACGATATATACACTGTATGTACCCCTCTGTTCCCATGTCTCTCAATTCGTAGGCGGAGTTCCGACAGGCCAAGCACACCATCATTCTGGTGCAGTACACACGCGACCCGAACTCGCGCACGTACTTGGACTTTGAGTCGGTGAACGGCGGCATGGACGGCGTGGTCAAGATGTACGAGGCCAAGCTGAAGCAGCTCAACCCGGATCTGAAGAACATTACGTACGACATCCAGGATCTGTACACGTACATTGACTCGCTCACGGACCTTAGCGCGCTCGTGTTGGACCTCGAGACCAAGACGTATCTGCCATGTGGCAAGGAGTGGATCAAGAAAAAGGTCTTCCAGGTGCTCAAGAATCAGGCGGGATGAGGGAATAGAAGATGCAGAGAAGGGGGTGCTAAGGTGCTGGTAATATGACGTTGCACATGCATTGAGAGGGGAGTGGGGGGGGTGAGGTGCTGTCAGCAAGAGGGGGACGGCTGAGGCTGGGTTTTTATCCGTGGTGTCGAGCTGATACTTGGCTTGGATAGGGCTTTGTGAAGGGCCTTCAGTTTTATGATCAGCAGCACAATGAGCAGTTTCTTTCTCGTAGACAAATATGGCAATTGTGTACTGGGGAGATGAGCACTTTGGAGCGATGATGACCGGCATTGTAGTCACTTGGACTGCAGCCAACAGCTACGCAGTGCTTGCGTCATTGTACCACTGCTTCAAAATAGCGGCAATTGTTGTATGTTGGTGATCATTTAAGAACACTTACCTTGTCTACACTATGTCGTTTATACGCACAACCGCAATTAGCGTTGTCTATAAAGTTACGGACCAGAGATTCACGCCTTATTGCTATTGGAGCTCCTCGAGTTACGAACGCAGCGACGTGGATCATGGCAGAGGAAGCAGACGACGTCATGCCAGCGCTCGACATGGTCAAACTCATCAGGTGCTTTATTCCATTCTGTCACGTACATGACTGGTCGGAAAGAGCTCCTGGACCTTGCTCTATTTTTTGCTATAAAGTGCTTAGTTGTTGTCTACTGTAATCATTCTATTATAGCGCTGAAGGCCACGAGCTCTATATCAGTAGGAAGTGTGCTATGGTCTCGGGCACTATCCGTGCTATGCTGAGTGGTGGGTACATTGAACAAAACTATGGGCTTTTAGTGCTGCAGACAGTGCACAATGAGAAACTGATGCTCGACTGCAGGTCAGTTCACCGAGAGCAAGGGCGAGATCACTTTCCCTGACATCAGTGCCCCGATTCTGGAAAAAGTGTCGCAGTACATGTACTACAAGACGCAGTACTCGGACAGCACGACGCGTCTGCCTGAGTTTGCTATTGAGCCGGAGATCGCCATGGAGCTGCTCATGGCGGCCAATTACCTCGACTGTTGACCAGTTTCGAGCCTTAAATTGATTGCAGCCAGTCTGTTTTGTTTTGTTGTTATGTGTCGCTATCTCTTTGGCTATGTTGAGGCTGTTCCAAGCTGGCCACGACAAATGTGTCGGCTGTCTATAGTCAGCTCTCGTTATAAGCATCCTCTGATATCACATTCGGTGTTACCCCGGGACAGGTCTTCGTCACCGGGGTAAAACCGGATGTGATAGCTATACGCACGTCACATCCTCCCTCTATGAGATCCCAATTGGAAGTGGATTGAACAGAGATGTTATACAGGGAGCTGACTGCAACAGCTTTCTGCTCGATTCACCTCGGTTTGTTTCACTTCTCATGTGCACATGTTCTTGTCTTATGACGTACATTAAAGACACAGGAGGCCATTCGTATGGAAGCTAGTAGCGACGATGTACAATTTTTCTTGATCATGCTGGCCTCGACCATTGTGGGCACGATATGACTCGGGCACACCTACAAGGTCGCGATTACAGGCGCTCTACATCTGAATTATTGTTCATGATAGCGTGTCAGCTTTTGCGTTTGAGTACTTTGACGCTTAACGTATTCGCAAACGAACGCAGCCAAAACAACAAAACATTTGCCGAAGCATTGCATGACACTCTCAGCACACATGTTGCATCAGTTTATACTTCCATCAATAGCCGGAAACATTTTTTATCTTGCCTTGTTTAAAACCGATAATAAAGCCTCCTAATTTGGACGGAAACCTTGTGACGACTTCACGTTCCTCTGTTTAGCGAATCTGGAGAAAAGGGTCCCATCAATCCACTCACATTTATGACAGCCGACGAACAGTTCTAGTACTCATGGAGTCATCCAACCGGTAGGTGCGACGTAAATTGTATCCGAGGGACAGGAACGTACCCGCGAATTTAAGAAGATTGTACAATCATTACGATCGAACAGATCCAAAAGCTCGATCACACGACGTACCAGCATGAAGCATTCGAACTGACATTATTACAATGCATGTTGTGTATAAGCACGTAGGTACATGCACAGAGGTATCGAATATATTGCAGCATAACTGGTACTCCCTTCTCTATACGAATTCCATCACCGGTGGAGGGCACTACTACTGTAAAGGGTTACACATCTTAGGTTACTCGGTACCCTGTGTCTTACACACACGGGATAGTTTTATCACTTCACTGAAAGAAGTATAGAATAATTCATCGGTTTATGGGGGATGACGGGTGTCAGCCACACGATAGAAAAAGATCATTATAGATAATAATTCTGGACATGAGTGCCTGGATTGGGTAAATTGGTAATATTAGGATTAAGATATTCTATAGAGTTAAACGTAAACAAAAGTCTTCCTTTGACTTATAAAGCTGTGTAGCTCCGCTACAACTACAGCAATACATGATGTGTGCAACGAGAACAATCTGTCTGAAACAGATACCCCATAACCTCGTACAATTTTCACAGGGGATTATAAAAACGCTTTGTCGTCTTTGCAAGATGCCCGCATCCACACGATAAAGTATGTCTCTTTCCATTCTGGATGCATGCATTCCCCTTTATTGCAGGTTAGATATTGGGATTGACACTTACTCTATTCGACCCTTTCTCTCCATATCGTAATCTACATGGCCGACACCAATGGTAACATCGCGTCCATGCCGGATTGCCTCCAAGAAATAGCACTACATCCATCAATAAGATCAACGGCGAGGTAGACACTCCAGGAAGCACTTCTACAGCAGATATTTTAAGAATGTAGTTTCTTGCCAAGAATGTAGCTTTTGCCTACGTGCCAAAGACGATTCGCACTGAGTATAGAATGGTAGGGCAAGTATCGAGTAGTCTATGGAATGCGTACAGGAAGAAGGCATCATCTAAAATCGTTCGACCATCTCCAATAGGCGGAAGAAAGCTTCCTCTAAAGCTGGGTGCCCGTGCAATAAATTTATTCGGTCGATTAGCGGTAACGACTGGTTGGAGTAGCAATAAATTGTTATCTTGAACATCTGCAGGCAAGCGAAGAGGAAAAGAATGTGTTGCCTGCAGCAAGACACACAAGCCGCGCCAAGTGTAGTTTACAATACAATAGGGCGTTACAGAGGGCAAAACAACGATGTCAGTCATTCTCGGCCACAATAGGCATCGTTCAAAAAAGAGTATGCAAAATAGTAAGCATGATCTCCTTGGGGAATTGTTCATTCACAACACGTGATTTTGTTTGCACGATGCCCGTGTCCAAAATAAGCAACCATCGCACGTGTTTCCTAGGCCTGCAATGCATGTCAGCAGGGATGGTCCACGTCGGCATCCTCGAGATGTGTATCCGTTCTTACCGTATCCATTTAACCTGTTATATTTAAGCACGCTATGGATGGGGCTGAAGTGTGCAAGTACACATGTGTCGCGCACTGCTAACAAAGTTACCCAAGTGCTTACTGGAATAAAGGTCTATCAGCAGTTGCGACGCGGAATAAACTACTTATGGTGATATCACGGTACTGCTACCCCTTTTAACCCGAGTGTAGCTCTAGGCTGCAACGGAACGTCAAGCAATGCCGACTGTGGCTGCACTTTACCAAGTAATCGAAAAGGTGCAAATCTTACTGTCTGACCTGTGGAGAGAGAGAGGTGCATACATCCAGAAAAGACGACATACTAAGTAATCGAGTGAATACTGGCATTTTGCAAAAACGACAGGGCATTTTAAGAATCCCATATTGAATAACGAGTCAGCAGAGAAATTTGTAACGTGAATTGGTGGGATTTTGTGATTTTTGAGGCAAAATGTCGACTGCTAACGCGCAGACTTTCGCAGCTGACGCGTATCCAACAGACCATTCTACCAGAATTTAATTTCCACGTTTGATGCTCTGGGTACAACCAAATCACCCATATGGAGTACATATTGACTTGACAACTGGTGGTTCACAGGCAAATGAACATAATTATTTGTAGATCACAGCCGTTTCTCTCTATCATCTCCACTGTGGTCTATCTTTATTCTATTACTTTATAATTATCATTCTTGAAGCTCGAATAATTTACTGTGTTACTGGACTATGTTTCACTCATTTCCAAGCCTATCGGCTTCACTTCACTCATGTCTCGGTCATACACCCCTGCCACATACTACGAAAATTGTCTTTAAGGACTTACAATTATTGACCAGCGAGAAGCCGACCGTCAACGAAGTAGCTGCACCAGTTTCCACAATTGCCGCCGTGTAAGACGACATGGACAGCTCTCCATAGCTAGTCCAAGGCCGTTTTTAATAAAGAAAAGGCTGTGTCGGCGCCATTCGTACCATAACGAACTTCTCTCGCGGTATCTCAATAATCTCTGGTCAGCCATGTTCGACCACATTATGCGCAAATGCGGTACGTTGGACGTAGCAAGCGCTTAAATTCGCCACTATGGACATTTTCTTATGATACCCATCATTAAAAAGAATAATGGCGTGTGGAATATAACGGCGCTTGTGCTTAACGTGTCCAAGCCTCGTCCATTCGTACGGACAATACCAAATTTGTACACGCCGCTGCCCTTAATCTGTACGACGGAGAAGTCGAAAAGAGAGAGAATACGAAAATAACTCGCGCTTTCTGGTGACGTTGGTATGTACTTTTCTCAGATTTACGTGCGCAATTACACCATATTATGGCAAGCACCACCCGTATGGACTGAAGATGGAGGCGTCAGTGAACCCTCGCGGTTTCACCATTGACTGCGCCAATTTTACGAAAGAAAGTGTCGTAAATATCCAAGTCTTACAAAAAATCATGATTTTCACCAGAGGATGCATGTCAAGACAAAGCAAAATCAAGCGCTCGAAGGCCGCGCCTTTAGACATGTCTAGTTCTCGCAAGGGGGTGCTCTTATTGGATAAGTGGATCAAGGATTGCTCGTAGCTTTCGTATATACATCCTACAAGAGCGCCACCAGGATACCGTCTTTTAGCAGATGGGGAGCGTGAGAATGACAAGGCATAAAGTGAAAGGATAATTATCGGGACTAGGTAGGACGGCTGATAATTACATGACCAATTTGCGCTGACAAGTAAAGGTAAAGACACGATTTTTGTGATGATGTTATTTCCAGATGTGCCTAAGTTTGACTAACTTCTATAGAGAGGCTAACTCGTTGCGCGACACTTAAGGCAAGTCGCTTAATCTCGTCTAGAACTGCTTGATCGCTATATGAATGGATACGAAGTGTCTCAAGCGTCTAACACTAAAGATGTAACGGAGTCACACTGCCTGGTACCTCGTTCTTAAAAACACGCATGATATCCCACTGAAAGAGATATAGAATATCTTTTCGATTTGTAGGGGCTGACTTGTGCCAGCCATTAGATAGGAGAGATCTTAGCTGCGTACTTACTTAGGTTTAGACATTCTATATGTGTAAATGTAAATAAATTTTAGTTCCCCTTTTAAACTTTAAGACACGTGCCTTGCGAGACGTCTTTGGTCGTTGATCGCTGAGCACTAAGAGTTAGCAACACCTCCCTGAGGTAGCTAGTTACTCTTGAGCACTAAGTGCTGTCGATTCATTGAATCGTAGGGTCCCCTGGAACAAGGAACATAAGCTTTACGCTAGTTGTGTAGCGGGGCACCCTCAAGCTTGCACTGATGACGGTATAAGCTGCTTATTCTGATGACAGAATAAGGCGGTGCCTCGTAACTTCACGTACACTGGTACGTGCAGAGGAAGACGGTAAGGAGAAGCGAGTACTTGGTTAAAGTAAAAGTAGAACTGTAATTATCATAGTTAATGTCTGTTAATAAACCACTGTTTATCCTCATCTAACCGTGTCTAAATGCAAATGTGTACATCAGCTATCAGCTCACCACTCATTGCGTGCGTCTGTCGTGGCGCGTCTTCGTTGGTTGATATAATGGCCTATATCAACCAATTAGGAACTTGTAAGTGCAACATAATATTTGTCCTTATGACAATATTCTGAGAATATAACTCTTATAGTTATATTCTAATAACAATTTCTTATAAATTGTTATGTAACGATTCACCCCGTTACATCACCCCCCCCTAAATTATCAGTCACTTTAGTGACTGATTGACTAAATGAATACTCGTCCCAAATCAGTTGGGACAGGGTTCGCACTTGTTGGTCCGAGTCCACTTCCCAATATTTCATCGCATGATTAACAAGCCCATGCGATGCGCGAGCAAGGCCGCCGAGAGCGCGTCCGCACGTCTCTGTGCGGACGCCGAAGCAAAAACCGCTGCAACCGATGTGTCATCGGTTGCTAAGCCGTCTCAGTCTGTATCACCTGGTGATGCAGACGCTGGTCATTAAGACACTCGTGTCTTCACAGAGTATGAGCTCGGTGTCTCATACTCCCCTGATACGGAAGATGGATCTGTATCGAAGGCGGTTGAAACCAAGCCGCCTGTCAAGCGTGGCATGGATGATGCTATGCGTCGTAGCATCTTTGGTTCATCTGACGAATCAGATGAACCATCGCCAAAGCGAAGGCATTCGAGATCGCAAGACTCGGGCGCTCACAGTGGTGTCGGTTCTCCTGTTGACACCACGTCGCAGCGAGGTACCAGCACTTCTGTCGGCACGTCGCAAGAAGAGCGGGACCGCAGTGTGTTGTGTCTCGCTCCCGAGATGGAGGCATGGATGCCTCCAAAAATAGTCATGGATCACTTGTCGGCGACGACAAGTGATCGCTATCGAACACGATTGTTCGATTCGTCAAGGATCTACCACCTTGGCCCCAGTGCGAAAGACTATCGCGCTGAGAATGATTTCTTCATCGATGCTTTCTTTAAACATCGATGGTACAGTGGGAATCACAAAAGTGATGGTCCCTCACTGCTTCAAGCGTGGAACGCTTACATCCATAACCTTGAGGATGTAGGTAGTGACGTTTGGAACGACAAACTTATCAAAGCTCGTGATAAGTTTGAAAAGCGAACCCCGACAGGTGCACGCTACAAGCTGCATCGTCTGTCAAGGGAGAAGGAATTACCCTGCCTCTCTTGGGAGGTAAGCCTCCTTAGGTGCTCGTGGTGGCGCGTACGTATCTCTACTGAGATGCACGAAGGGATTGATGACCTGAAATCCCTTTACGACCGTGCCGGGAAGACTTTTTCCGGCGGTCCTTCTGCGGCACAGGATGTGCCGCGTCGTACTGCTCGACCAGACCCAGTACGTCAATCATCAGTTGGGAGCGGGGCTCCTAAGTATCTCATGACGGGGGATAACCGCGCCACCGGACGAGGTAACTCGTCCGACGTCCGTTCACATCGCGGTGGTTCAACAGCCGCTCAACCAGATAGCGCTGGCCACCGCGAGAGTCCTACAATGGAGGTGGAGGAGGAGGGAAAACGCTCTCCAAACTATCTTGGGAGAGCGTGTGTCCCCAAGAGACTCTTGAATAGCGTAACTATTGCGTTGCGTGGCGACCTCGAGCATGAGCGGGACAGGCGTCTTCAACTGGCGGACACTGTCTTGAAGCATCGAGCTGAGTTTGCCTTTGCTTAGCTTGAGAACGAGAGAGCTTTGACATCTCTGCGTAATAAGCTAAGGGTAGCTCGTGTGGATAGTGACCGGTCTCGGGCTGAGATAACTGCTCTTCAGACCCTTGTTTATATCCACCATCGGGAGCACAAGGCTTTCTGCGAGATGCTTGAGTGCAAGGGCGTTTATTATCGGAAGAAACAGCGTACTGATGGTAAGGCTTGAGCCAACCAACGTAAAACGTGGGATGCGTTCGCATCTTACGTGGCAACTCGATCGTGTATGCATTGCCTAGGCGATGCAAAACACGAAATGGACCGATGTACTTGGGTAGAAGTTTACTACTACCCAAGTTAGTCACTACATGCTTTGGTAGGTTAATTGTAGACAGTAGGACTCAAGTCACCTTTATTAAATAAAAGAGTGTTTGCCCTTCCATTCTTGTCAGCGTTTTGCTTTTGATTGTCCACCGCTTCGGCGATTGAGTCTTGCAAAACCGGACTACCGTTTCACGAGCCAGTATGAACTCATCTGATGACTCGTTAGCTTCAGTGCGCTGTGAGTGCACTGCAGCACCTTCAACCTTTTCTTCAGTGAGGGCTTCCGCACTCTCACTGGCATCATCTTCTTCAGTGAGGGCTTCCGCACTCTCACTGGAATCATCTTCTTCGATATCGATGTTATCGATATCGGCATCAAACGCAATGACCTCTTTGTCAGAGCGTGATGAGCGTGAACCAAATCGGTTTTTGCTCGCGCAAGTCCCCCCCCCTTTAAACCAGAGTTACACTGTAGTAAGGTGGGTACACGCGGATGGCGTAAGCCATTCACGTAAAACGATGTATGTGTCGTGGACGCATGCACCGAGTTGTTAATGTCAAACTCTACTATTGGCAAGAACTCACTCCAACTCTTAAAGGAGAGTACGTATCCTCGAAGTATCTCTTCGAGGACACGATTGGCACGTTCCGTCTGACCATCTGACTCTGGATGATCAGATGTCGACATCTTCAAGCGCGTTACGAGTGATTTGAACACGGAGCGCCAGCAATCAGCAGTGAAGCGTGGATCTCTGTCTGATACGAGTTCACGGGGTAGCACATGAAGTCGGAAGATGGTGTCAATAAATACACAAGCACAGCCACTTGCTGTGATTGTCTCTGGTACATCCACAAGGTGTACCATTTTGCTGAATCTGTCAACAAATACGAGAATACACGTTTTCTTGCGTGCGTCTTTGGGTGACCCGAAGACAAAATACATTGAGATGGATTTCCAGCACTTTGCTGGAACAGGTAGAGGTTGTAAAGGTGCACGCAGTGAAGGACTTGACTTCACTCATTGACAGACTTCGCATGCGCGAACATACTGGCGCACAAACTGATACTGGCGGGGCCAGTAAAAGTCTCGACTCACCGTGATATATGTTTTCTCACGGCCACGATGTCCTCCTATAGGAGCATCGTGATACTCGTACATGATCCGCAAACGCAGATCAGTATCATCTGGAATGAAAACACGTGGTGTGTCACCAGAAACGGCTGTATAATACAGTAAACCGTCGCGAGTAGTGTATCGATCTGATGCAGATCGATACGCAGACGATAATCGTTTCAACGATTCTCGAGATGGTTGTGAGAGATATGTAAACAACTTCACAATCTCACCATCTTGGGCATACGCCCGCCTCACATCATCATACAACGTTGCAGATGGGACTGAGGACATCATAACTGTAACAGTGGCTGTCTCACTGTTGGGTTTCACGACTGGGTCAAAGTCGGGTCGACGTGAGAGTGCATCAGCGACGACATTAAGTCGTCCTGGTTTGTACTCGACCGTAAAGTTGTATTCCGCAAAGAATGACAACCACCGCGCCATTCGTTGTGAAAGGTGCGGGCTGTTCACTGCCGTGCGTAATGACGCATGGTCAGTGTAAACAATGGAGGGTCTATCTCCTAATAGATAGACTCTGAACTTCGCGAGTGCATGCTTCATGGCAAGGAGTTTCTTGTCATGCACTGGATTTTCCGCTCAGCTGGTTGCAGCTGACGCGACTGATAGCAGACGACGCGTTCAACGCCTTCAAGATCGTACTGCATTAATGCACAGCCGATTGTGAAATCGCTGGCATCACAGACCACATGAAATGGCCTGTCCTGATCGTCAATTGCTAGGACTGGGGATTGTATCAAGCTCTGATTAATACCATCAAAGGAGCGCTGACATTTAGCGTTCCATAACCACCTCTCGTTCTTTTTCAACAAAAGAGAGAGGTGTACAGTCATCTTGACGCAATTGCGTGAATACTTATGCAAATACGCCGCTAGCCCGAGGAATTTTCGAAGACCTTTGACATCAACCGGCACAGGCCAGTCGGTGATCGCCTTGATCTTTTCGGGATCAGGACGTACACCGTTCTTACCAACGATGCACCCAAGAAGTGGTATTTCGCTTGCTGCAAATATACACTTCTTGAGGTTTGCATACAATTGATGCTTTCGCATGATTGTAAGAACCTGTCGGACGTGGTATCTTTGAACCTCAACGTCCGACTTTCCATCCATAGCCCGACTATGGATGAATACGTCATCGAAATAACTCGGTGCGAATTCTCGTACTGGTCTCAACAGATGTGATACACATCTGTTGAACGTGGCAGGGGCATAACTAAGCCCTTGTGGTATTACTAGCCATTCCCAGAGCATGCTGCTAGGCGTGCTCACTGCGGTATAAGGTATGTCCCGTTCTCGCATAAGGATTTGATAGAAGCCATCCAACAAACCATGGACGAAACGATGGTACTCTTTGACATGCCATCAATAATTACGTCCTTCCTTGGCATCGGCGTCTGAGCCGGTACCTTTGCAGCATTCAACTTGTTAAATGCATGGCACAATCCGCCACCCTCCTGTTGCTTTTCGCACACAGAAGGTCGGAGAGCTATGTGGGGGAGTTGATTCTCTCACATGGCCCGCAGCTAAACGACCGGCAAAGAACTTGTTGATCGCAAGTACTTGTTCACGGGGCAGTGGCCACTGCTTCATGACACAGTACTTCGAGCCTGGTTTAAGCTCGACCTCGTGTCGAGTACATTTATCCTTCAGTAATTCGCACGGAACAGTTTCAGGGAATACATCCTTGAATTCAACCAAATCTTCATAGAGAGGATTTGTCTTGAGCGATTCCCACGATTGGGAGTCATATCGCTCAAATCGTGTCTATTCATCTAGGACACTCTCGTCCATAGATGAACTACTGAGAACTCTCTCGTTCTCAGTGAACACTGTTGCTGATCTTATTTCGGTTACACACTCGTCGTCAGCGACGAGTACGCAGATCTGCTTGACTTTGCCACTACGCAGATCACGCAAGAACCTTTTATGTTCGAGCGTTGGCAACTGAGTGATCTCCGAAGTCAACTTCGGAGGCGCAATCAGATCAAGTGTATAAGCGCCTACACTTGATCCGTTATTGACTAGGACATTCAATCTCTCTGTCATTTCCTGGGGACTTATTCCCTCAGGCTTCGAAGGACTTATTCCTTCGGCTTCCCGGGGACTTATTCCCGCGGGTTTCGGGGAACTTATTTCCGCCGTATTTGTAATCTTGGGACTTATTCCCTTTACTTCCTCTAGCTTGGGTTGCGCAACCACAGCGAGATCCTCTACGAAAGACTCTCCAGTCGATCTAGGATTATCGTTTCGCTTAACCTAAGCGATCGATTGTTTCTCTTCTAGATGTTCCCCGCTAGGGATACATCTTTGTCCCAGTCCACCCGACTTATTCGAGTGGTGGACCTTCGGCGCAGCCTGTGTTTCCTCACAGCCGCCGGAACTTTGCTCCGAAGTGTAACCGTTTGGTACACTAAGGTTTTGTGCAGTCGTACTAACGACCGTACCACAAGTGAGGCCATCGCACTCACTCGTAGTACATCCACACGCTTGTGGACGCTCCAAAACGTTCATCAGATGGCCATCTGATGAACAAGCGGCAGGCATCGTTACTGTCCGATGTTGCCAGTTTACTCGTGGTTCGTACCTTCTGAGCCACGGTATTCCAGGGATGACATCAAATTTGTCATCCAAATCCAATACGATAAGTTCATCATCATATTGGGTATCTTCTAGCGTATAGTGGATCTTCACTATACGCTTCATGACGGTTACGGATGCGCCTGTCGCAAGACGTACCGTCATCCTCGTAGGAGGTGTGTCATATTCACTGAACTTAAAGTGACCATCTTCTAGCGATTGGCGTCGCACAAAATTGTTGGACGCCCCACAATCGACTAGAGCTCGAAGGGACAACTTATTCGTCACTTCGAGTTTCAAGGTAATGAGTGAGACCTCATTACCTAGAGCAGCAACGCACAACGTTTGTGTGTTGGGAGCAACCTTCATCATAAGGCCTGAAAATTCTCTTGACGTTGCTGGACCAGTAGGGTGCTCTGCACCTACTGATCCTGTCCGTTTTTTTTACGGTCCATCCCATTGTTGCGAGACAATGGACGAGGGGCACTACACTCGTAAGCGTAGTGTCCTGTCTTTTGACATCTGTTGCATCTCTGCAACTTCTTGTAGCCTGTAGAGCGAGCCTTCTCGCTCTCTACATAACAGAGTTCCATCGGCTCTGGACCCCCGCTGTCATGTCGTCTCGGTGGACGATATGATGTCGAGCTGGCGCGAGCTTGTCTCAGACTAAAGTCTTCTTGTTCCGCAATGGAAATGGCTTGTTCTAGTGAATCTAGTTCAAGTCGGAACAGGTGAGTCTTGACGGGACCATCCGCAAGACCCTGCATGAACACCGAAACCAACGTGTGTTCATCAACCGGGTTGGAACTCATACAACTCGTGAGAAGTTGTACATGTCGTGCGTAAGCGTGCACATCACGCTTACCTTGTTTGAGATTCAAGAGTTCAGTTCGAGCTCTGAACTCAGCTCTAGGAGGTTCAAACGTTTGTCTGAGCCGCGACTTGAAGACTTCTAACGACCCAAACGCATATGGGTCGTGCAACTTGAGCCCCAAAGCCCAAGTCTTGGCACGTCCTGCCAGATTTGACTGGGCAAATGAAACTTGCATATCCCCATCGTCGATGCGACGCGCCCTTATGGTGTCGTCTAATTCGACAAACCATCTCAAGAGGGAGTTCTCTTCGACTCCCCTATACTTGGAGATGTCAATCTTCAAGGTCTCGGATCGACGCGAGTGCATCGACCCGCCAGTAGCAGCCTGCTGCTGTCTCAACAGTTCAAACTCTTGAGCACCCTGTTCTCTCAACAACTCTGCTTGTTGAGAACCTTGTTGGTGAGGCGAGGCTACTTTCTCGCGTTCAGCGTCAAGTTCATTTTGAATGAACTTGGCGATAGTAGCATGTTGGGCATCTCTATTGAGAGCCTCTAGCATGACGCTAACAGCATGGATGCCCATGGTTGAACCCATCCGTTCAACCGCATCCCATTCGACATCGCTCAAATGGGAGTAGCCGTCACGCGTAGCGTGAAAGCTTTGGTCATCTTCATCATCCAACATACTCATGTTAGATGTGAACGTGGTCCTTGGACGGACTACGAAGTGCTACCAGGTGTAACGGGGCACCCTCAAGCTTGCACTGATGACGGTATAAGCTACTTATTCTGATGACAGAATAAGGCGGTGCCTCGTAACTTCACGTACACTGGTACGTGCAGAGGAAGACGGTAAGGAGAAGCGAGTACTTGGTTAAAGTAAAAAGCAGAACTGTATTTAGTATAGTTAATGTCTGTTATTAAATCACTGTTTATCCTCATCTAACTATGTCTAAATACAAATGTGTAAATCAACTATCTGCTCACCACTCATTGCGTGCGTCAGTCGTGGCGCGTCTTCGTTGGTTGATATAATGGCCTATATCAACCAATTAGGAACTACTCGTAAGTGCTACAGAATATTTGTCCTTATGACAATATTCTGAGAATGTAACTCTTATAGTTGTGTTCTATTAACAATTCCTTATAAATTGTTTTGTAACGGTTTAACCCGTTACAATAATAGTATAGATGGAAGTGTAGTGAAAGGACACACATGGTAATGTACCAGCCGTATCTGTGCTCCCCACGACAATCAATAAAATTCGAATTTACAATCTAGCAAATCTTTTCAGCATTGTTGATGCAATCATGAAGCTAAGATTTACATACTGTCACTGTGAGAAGCGACTTGGCACAAATAGAACGGTAGCTGCTATACGCAAACAGTAACCTACTGTACTTCCCGTTTAAAGTTTGCGGCTTTGGCATTTGTTTCCTTAAGAGCATCAAAGAGGAGCTAGAAGATTACAACTCATCACCAGCTCAAACAGCTACGAAATATCGTCTACAGGCTGGTATGTTGTGGCTTTGACGGTCTACAATACTTTCTTTGAAGATCGCACCATTCTAGTCCATATTTTGTCGGAACTTCGGTATCGTTGACCGTCCGGGACTCTCTCTCAACCCATTTCAATTCTCGGTGAGGAAGCTTTGGTGCGTCCAGCGCCTTTGGTCAACTTTCTAGTCGATGGAGCCCATTGAATTCGAACTAGGCTTAGTGACGGCTACTTCATCTATGGAATTTACCCCAAATCAATCCTTTTCGGCAAGCATGCTCTCAAAGCCGTCTAGATTCCTATCTGCACTGTCGAACGGTCCAATCCAGTCACAGCTGCATTCAGATGATGCTCATCAAGGTCAAGGTACAAGACTAGCATTGCATGATTCCTCTCTCTTGTGATCTCTCCGCCATCCGGTCGCAATCTTCCAGTTTGTCGGTACGCAGTTCGGAACGACGATTAGCGCGTTATGAATCAGCAGATGTGACGCTCATTGTGTCATTTTCACTTTAATCTGTTCAAATCAAATTACACGTACATGATCGTCTCTCACTTTCGTATCGGCTTGAGTTTTGGTAGTACATATCTGTCCATCGTGTTTGACCATTAGTGGCAGACAATTAGCCCGTGTTTGCGACTTCCGTTTGATGACGTCAACGCAAAGGCTATGATGGTCGCGGTAACTCGTTCACTCATTGCCGCTACGTTCGGGGCATAAGAGCTTTCAACAAGATGCATATCGCCATCAGAAGCATGCTGGCTTTAGCGATCGACGTGAGTGTAAACTGTTTCCGCAACGTTTGCTACAATAGTTCATCCCACTTCCCCATACTGATGTTGGCTCAGTCACAGCGAATAAGTTGACGTTTGCATCCACCTGCGAGAACTACCGAGATTACGATAACAATCTTGTCGGTCAGGGTGGAAGGAATCGAGCGAGCGGTGTTGTGAGATGTTTAGCATGCAGCGTCAAATGTCCTCAATGGACCCGTCATACAATGCTTGTTGGTTCTTGTAGTGTTCGTGTATCCGTGATGTCTTAGGACGACTGTGGGTGACAGTTGATAACACCGCGTACACGACAACGCAGGAAGTGCACAGCAAGGACTGTGTTGCTGAGAGGATGATAGTAAAGCTATATTGGATGCTTGATATGAGGACTCGGCAACTACAACTTGAGTATCCCAGTTTTGGGAAGCGATATCGATTACCTCCTTGCCTCTTACATTGTTTTTGCATAGCCGATCAGTCGTCAGTACTTGGGATGAATGCTGTCATTGATTGACACAGGATCACACTATTGGTGTTCATCACCCCATGCCAATCATAGACTCGTTACCGACTCTTGATTTCGAGTTGAAAAGATGTACTGAGTGTCCCTGTTATAGTTTGTGTATGTTGAGGCAGAAACCACCAGCACTATATTGAGATACATTGATGCACTTCCAGCCAACGTGTTCGCGTCGATAGATCATCAATCCGTCAGTTACATCCATTGAATATCACGCGATGCTCAACAAATAATCAAGCTGGAACGTGATACTCGCGATGAGTCAGAAGCATGTTTGTCTAGCTAGAGTGCCTACTGGCTAGCACTACGTATTCCCGATACTACAGTTCTTGGTGGTCGTAACGCACGCAACAATAGAGAAAGACCAGGCAACGTTTGACAGGAAGCAGAATCGAAATACGGCAAGTATTATTTCAGCATACTAGAACTCGCACCCTACCCTCCCGGCACATTGCGGTCAGATCAAAGCTCAGTTTTACGGTAGTACAGGTACATGTCAACCGAGCCAATGTATCAGCTGGTCGTACGGCGGCGTCAAGTGGGCTGCAGACGCCTCTAGCGGAGACTATGGCGCGCATCAAGCGACACGGTGGGGTCTTGGAACAACCGCTTTTTTCTGGATCTTGCGAAAAGTCCATAAAATGACCCAAATACACACGATCTGGAAAACGTGCAGTACGTTCACGGAGCACTCGACGAGCTCGCAATGTTTACCATTCGCACAGGATAATTCGACCGGATTGTCGTTCGTCCGGGCAATAGCCATGTACATTTGCGCAGCCACGACAACAATCGAGCATGTCTCGACTACAAACAGAATCTTCTTAATCTTGGCAGCATGGCCCTCTTGTGGACGAGGGTGTGCTTTGCGATCCCGCATCACAGGAGTATCGCCTTCGTCGTCGCTCATGTTCATGTCAAACGATCGGTTCGACATCATCCGGTTAGAACGCACACTTGGTATGCGCAACTTCAGCTGTCGCTCGTACTGCTGCAGACGACTCAATACGCGCAGACCGTAGATGAGGAAGACCGTGCTGATGATACCGAGCATACACGCGCTCACAGTGAGCTGCATGTAGACCAGACCTTGCGGGTTAAACCCTTTCGACAAAAAGAGGCACATGTCGTACAAGACTTGAAACGTCCACACCACAGCAATAGCAATACTCTCTAAGCACACGAGATGCGGAGGCTTGTCCGTAACCGCTGCACCGCGCTGAATGATCGTAGCCCAATAACCCAGCGCCATTATACTGCACAAATACATAGCACCAATAAAGAGCACAGCACGTGAGTACACCCAAAGAGACGACCATCAAAAACAAAACAAAATAAATAAAAAATCAGAAAAGTACAGCCGTAGTAACATGACGTACTACACAGAATAGAGCGCAGCGGTGCACGTGTCGGCTAAGAAGGCGCTAATCGGGCGCGGGATCACATACCCGTAACTCAGTGGATCAGCGCCACGAATCACCATGGTTACAGCACCGTAACAGCAAAAGAGGAAGCTGTACTGCTGAAGCAAAGCCCCTTCGTGTTTCACCGAGCGCACATAGAGGATGACACTGGCAATGACGCTCACCCCTCCTAATGCCAGGTAAACGGCTTGCACAGTGTGGTACGCACTAGGGTTATAGGACGCCAGTGTCCGAGTGCAGCCCTCGTCTGTATACGCGAGGCCAAAGTCACACGTGGAATCCGTGATGTTCACCATAAAGGTACTACACTCGGGAAACGAGGCGGCAGGAGGTTCACGAGCTCGATGAACTCACTCTGGGAGCTGAAACCTATTGATGGAGGGGGTCTCCACGTCGCAGAGCGCAAGGACCCGTGACCGACCACGAGACCAGAGTGGGAATAGATGGGGCTATCAAGACCAAATGCGATGAACCAATTCGTTTCTGCACCAATGGCGGCTATCCATCCGGTCCGAAAGAACAGTTGCCACAAGCTGGACAACGAATGTCACATGTCACGAGTCGCACACAAGCGGGGACCAGCACGGGCTGCGCAAGCGAAAAAAAGCCAGATCCGCCAGCAGGGGATCAAATTTGATGCGAATTGGACGGTAGGTAGTTCGATCGCGACATGCACGAGCTGGAAATTGGTTGTTAGCTTTTTTTCTTTGCTCCTCCTCCTGGCCCTTTTTGTGGTATTGCTATTAAAAGCGGGAGGCGAGTGAGTCGACATGCGAATCAAAAGCAGACGCAGCGTGTGGCTCGAGCCACTTGCCTCGCCATAGAGCGCACACATGTCATAAAACCAGGACATCATATGGGCGACAGCGACGAACGTCGCGATGGTGAAGACTGACTATACGAGACCAATCCCAGCCGTGCGATAAGACTTGCGACGGCGAGAGAAACCCAGCGTGTGTACGTGCGCTGTCGAATCGAGAAGTGCTGGTAGTGCAACTGCAGACGGATTATCTGGCAAGGCAGCAACAACTAAGTTACTATTTCAGTTTCGGCCACACTGATCTGCCGTCAATACGCGGGCCCTTGATCAGGCTGCTGTACGTGTAGCATCGCTGTCTAATACAGCAAGCGCGCTTTACGCTCGAACGAAACTCGCTGCGGAAGGTGCTCTAACCCTGCGCGATAATCGCGTTATCACATATTCACTCAACCGTGATAGCTAGACATCGCAAGACGCGCTTGTAGTAGCAGTCTATGAAGCAGCTGTCAGTAAACGGCCATCTGACGCTTCAGAGGCGAAGTTCAGAGTGAACAATACTACACAAGTCCGTAACACCACTCCGTAACCCTCTTGCTACGTAGCCTCTAAAATAGAGGACGTTAACCGAGAAAAAAAACATGTTGGAAACAATCCACCCGTCAAGAGAAAAAACAACGTTAGTCATTTTAGTCAGGTAGGTAGATAGTCAGAAGAAAATCCACTTTTTTGTGCCAGTATTCTTCGATCCCCGCCTGCTTTCTCGACCCAAGAACCGACCGACCAATAGACCGACCAATCGATATCGGCCCCGTCGTACCTCTTTGCCCCTTCATTCACCTCTTCGCCTCCTCCTAATCATGATGAGCGCCACGACCACCGTGACCATTAACACTGACAGCGTCGGTGGCGACATGAAAGCAGCGGCGCCGCCCAAGCGCAACTTTATCCAGAAGATAAACGACGTGAACCAGATGGAGCTGCCCAAGCTCCTGCGCTACATGCGCGTGGGCAACGTCGTGTGCTCCATCCTGCAGATCCTGGCGGGGGCCGTGGGCATCTCGTCCTTCATCACGCTCAACATCACGGGCACACTCGTGTCCATTTACGTCATTATGTTTGGCATTCTCTTTCTGCTCTTTGAGTGCCGCCTCTCGCGCATGGAGACGGCGATTCGAGCCAACTTTGGCTTCTTGTACAGCTACAAGGGACGGGCTGCCTTTATCTTCTTCATTGGGTTCCTGGACTTTGGCATTGGCTCGGCCTTTGCTTCGCTCGCCGGGCTCCTCATGTGCTTTAACGCGTTGATTAACCTCCTCGTGATGTGTCGCCACCCGCAGTTCAAGTCTTCGCTGACTGCGGACGCCGACCCGACCGCTGGATACACCACGGGCAGCCAAGAAGCTGCAACGTTTATGAGCAAGAACCCAGAGATTGCAGCCAAGGCGGGGCAGTACGCCTTCCAGCACGCCGCCAACACACGCCACTGAGTGGCAAGTGGATGGCGAGTGGAAACGAGATGTTGACGTGCTGGCTGTGCGTGCGATGATATTCTCTAAGCTAATAACGGTTGCATTGAAGAAGCTGCGTGGTCTTGCGTACTCGTTGGATGTGGACGATGGTTATGTGCTGGGAGGATGTTGTCGATGCAGACACAGGAGACTATTGTCAAGTCGCACAATTCAGGGACGAGGTTCTCAAGCTTTTGCGATCCAGAGATGAGTTTCTCTGCCTAGGTTTGAGTTTTGCAATGGTCAGTTGGATGATCGATGAACACGAGTTGACTAAGACGTGTTGGATTGCTTGAATTATGAGTCGAACACGTCATTTGCTTCAGGCGAAGTTTGTGAAATGGGCTTTTGCAAAAATGCTTCATTGGCATTCGAAGTTTCTTGATCAGAGCCGAGGTATCGTGGACAATGTCCACAGTCTTTCTATGCTGACACCGTTTACCTTGTTAGGGCTCAAGTGTTCTAGACTGGAAACTTCTACTGACGAACGGCCAGTTTGTCTAGCCACGGCAGACATCGTTCGTAGCAGGACGGACCACTAAGGTACTGTCACTCAGGTGAACGCACCTGTCTCTCAGAACGTACAGTGATTCCGGCAATTGCGGCTCTGTATCACATACGCGAGTTGTATCGAGGCTCTCAGCTTCTTACTTTGCATCTTTCACCTTTCTGTACCACATGTCTGGTAGATATTAGAGTGGATGAAGGAGGTACGACGTCTTGTTGCACGTTACCACCACTTTCTCGATACTTTTCGTTTAGTTTGTGTTTACAGCCCCTAGGTAATCTACTGCATCGGCGTAGTTGTATACGATGTGCGGCACCCCACCGTCTCAGGTAATTGAGTACTCAGGTGTACGCAGGCGAGATGGTGATCCTGATACGCCCGGTGGTGGTGCTATCACTCCTTCCACCACCCACTTCAGCTTTCTACCTGCTGCAATATACGCGACTTGCATTCTGGACGGCAGCTTTTCACCAAGACTAGACAATACAGAAATGTGCGACAGGTTCCTCCTTATCTTTTGAAAAAATGCTCTACAGCATGAGCGATCCTAGAACTTGTGCTTCCCTGACCAGCATACCGTTGTGATCCCGGCAAGCAAGCAACGCGTTTAGTAGGCGGGGGCATTTACTTCGCGCACAGTGCATTCGAGCGGTCCCTTGACCGGCAGCGTTACACTATAGTCATAGGTGATCTCAAACGGATCCTCGACAGTCTTGATGTCGAACCGACTGAACAGGACCGCCATCACCGTTTGCATCTCGAGCATAGCGAAGCGCATGCCAATGCACTGGTGCGGACCACCACCAAACGTGATGAACTGAAACGGGTTGACGTGCTTGATCTTGCCGGTATTCGCGTCAATCCAGCGCTCTGGGTTGAACGCGGCCGCATCCTCCCCCCACACCTTCTTCACACGGGCCGCCGCATACACGGACATGACCACGTACGATCCAACTGGCACAAAAGTGCCTTCACGAAGTGTCGTGCTTCGCACGGGCGTGCGGTGAACGCCCGTCATGTGTAACCGCAAACTTTCCTTGAGCACAGCTTCGAGGTACGGAATCTTGTGCAAGTCTTCCATCGTTGGGACTTGTAGCTCACCCGTCATGAGCTCCGGGAGGTTCTCACGTATCTGTGCACGGAGCTTCGCGAGCACTCGTGGATGCCGGTTGAGGTTCACAATGACCCACGCGATGCTAAAGCTCGTTGTCTCTTTGCCCGCTAAGAAGAAGTTCATCGTCGCGTCACGCAAGTCGGAAGGAGCTGTCTTGCCAGTGTGATTCACAAACAGCGTCAGCAGGTCCGTCTTTGTCTTCCAATCTTCAGCCGTTTTGTTAGTCATTGACTTGAGCATGACTTCATTCAACAAGTCGGTGACAACCTTGATACACTGCTTGAGCATGCGCTCGTCCCCGATGTTCAAGAAACGTTTGAGTTTCCAGAACCACATGGGCGACTGTAGACGCGCGCCAAAGACTTCTGCATAGCCGTCTATAGCCTTGATGAACGGGTGGTCCATTTCCGAGTTCACATCGCCATCCAACCCGTGCAGATCGACACCAAACCCAACCTTGGTAAATACGTCACTGGAAAACTTACCAAGCAGGGACTTCATTGGCACAATGCGACCGTCCTTTGCACACTGTGCCAGGACGTCACGTAGTTTCATGGATTTCTCCATAATGACCTCATTCATCACGTCCCGCAGCATCTTCAGAGAAAACATGTGACTCGCAATCCGCCGTTGCTTGAGCCACTTTTCACCATCGACACCTGCAAGCCCTTCCCCAAAGATATCGTGCTGCAGGTCCACGAGCTCTTCCCCTTTACCAAAGTTGTCAAATTGGGTCTTGAACACATCTTCACAGGCTTCAGGAGACGTGACTATGAGCGTTTGAGGACGACCGATGATACTGAGGACCCAGGGTTTGCCATCACTCAATTGCGTTTGATCAGCCATCCAATCTTGCAACCGGTATTTCTGGAAAAACATCACGTCCAGAGTATTCCCTAGAATTGGTAAGGTCGACTTGGGGCGATGTAGTCCCTGACCATCCAGTGCCAGGGTGACCTTCCTCTCTTTATACACCGCGACCAAGAGCTTGAACCCCACAAAGTAGAGACCAGTGAATGCCCCAAGGGTGAGAAATGCTGCCCAGTCGTTCGCGACACGGTGCTGCGTACTGCCCCACATGATCTTTCAATAGTCGAGTGACAGGCGCAGCGAAGAATTGGAAATGAGGGTCAAACGGACTGCTGCAGAGGTCTTTGGAAAAAAAATGGTTCTCCTGATCCGTTTGCCGAAGGTATCGAGAAGAAGGAGTGCCGACAGCAGATTTGTAGCTTTTCTTCGGCTGGATCTTAACTGATTGGTTTGGACTGAGTGGGATCCAGCACTTGCAGTGAAGCGGGCAAGTAGCGACATGAAAAGAGGAACGAGTGATGCAGGAGACAACGCATGATAACGGGATTGAGGTTAGCCAGAATACTATCTATTGTATGGAGAATGGCAGGCAAATAGGTGTATCCAGCAGGCCGCCCTTAGGATGCTGGTTGCATGATGATGACAACGAGCTCGCCAAATAAATTAAAAATAAACGCTCGTTCGTCTTCTGATTCAAGTTGCCGTGCTGTGGAGTTCCAGTCGCGAAAATCCGCTTCAAGTGTCAGATGTCTAGCCAGTGCGCGATACATACTGGCTGTAGTTGACTGTCGATAGCATTGGCTCCTGCCTTGATTATTTGACTCTTCTGCGTCGCCTCTACACCAGAACGAGAATGTGAGTTTCATAGAGCTTGGCGGGTCTAATGGATGTCGGTCGCCGCGGAGCTTCGAGACGGTAAGATGTATTTCGAACCTATAATTCACTGGTTCTTGCTGAACCTCAGAAAGTCGCGGATTGCCTCAGGTCCGACGATCACGTTCGCCTCAGATATCGTGCCAGCAGACTTCGTTGTCACTGCTCTGCCATCTTGACGATAAACTTCCAGCTTCGTCAGTACTCTCAGGGTGAGCCGACCTTCCAGTTGCATACCACTATCTTTGCACTTGTTACTGACATGAATGTGCCGCTTTAATTTCATCCGAATCTACGCTGGCGGCTGTCAATTGACTCTGACCAGAGATCTTTGCGTACACATCGACCGACTGACTGTACGCTCCATCGATGACCTGTTCAGGCCGCGGAAGTCGACGGCTATCTGATCTTTGGGAATACTTTTCTTTTTACTTGCCGAATGTAAACTTGATGGGACGCTAAGTCAAAGAAGTCGACCAGAGGCCACGGTCTGTTAAAAGAGGTGCACATCATGTTCTGTCAAGTGGGGCGCGTGTGCAAGCCGTGCCTCACAGATACTCAAATGACGTGATAGTCGTTCTAATAGTGGAAGAGCTCGATGTTGCTTACTGTCAGAGGTGTGGGCGACGAAAAGAGCTGGTCGTATTATGACACGGGTTTAGTCAAGTTCCACCATGTGTGCATTGTGATGACTCAAATTGTGCAGCAGGTCGTTGACGAAAGCTTACTCGCACAAGGCGAGGACGCTGCACCTTCATCTGAACGATGAATAGAACGTTGACCGACACAACCGGCTTTGGGCTGATGAGCTGCCGACACAAAATCTGGGAAACGCACCAACAGTCCTCACATGGCCAATCCGCAGCTCGTGCACCAGTGAAAATGTAAATTTAGAAGCGCACGTACGAGGTGACGCGTGACGGTCGCGAAGCAGAGGTCTTCGAGCCGGACCTGTTCGGGTGCTGCAGCGGTGGTCGCTCACGAACACGCTATCGCCAGTGGTGTCGCAAGGCTGTCGTCAATTTGTGACTGTGGTAGGCACCTGGGCTAGAACCATCGACATTTTTTGTCGGGGGGGGGGGGCAACCTTTGCCGTCGGTTCGATCGTGAAACCAAACTGGTTGACGCTGAATTTGATGTCGAGTAGCCGATACACAGCAAGACATCGCATGCATTGAACCTCCCCGGTAGCTAATCGGCATTTGCGACTTGTCCTATAGAACAGGGTGTGTCTCTGAACTGAAGGCAAGTAGGAGGGAGTGTTCAGTCACTACCTGCAGGTGTTGTATCAACGAAACCAATGTAAAGTATGTCGATAATGCGGCTCATCGCACGGATGTGGGATTTCATCGCGTATTTTGCGAACAATAAAGCCGTGAATGATGTGCTCACTGTTTCCACACACGAGACAGCATTCGACTGTGACGTCTTAGTATCTGGTTTCGTACTGATTCATGAGATTTCGGTCGTCTCGTTGTTGCTACGCAGCTTGTTTGAAGAACGCAAGTATCATGCGTGGCCCAATACACAAATGAAGTGAGCATTTTTATGAGACTGCCAGAATGCAATATCGTTTGCTCATGAACAGTTTTTAAAAGGGAATATTATTCAGCCACAACCCTTCCAATTATCAGCTACCAGCTACCAATAATTATTAGTAAAATTATAACCAATTTTTGAAATATATTGATTGATAAATTCATAATAAATTTTATCAAAATACCATTTTTGATTTAAAAAATTATATAAATAAATTCCAGTTACAACAATATTATATAAATGATGATTTCCCATAAAAATTTGAATGAGTATACATTTATCTTGTAAAACAATACATTTAATTGGATAAAAGTAAGGCTGAGTGTTTCCAAGCTCAAACCTTTTCATTGTAACGCCTTTTGTCCGATTGTGGTTGCTACCATCAAGAATTAATTCCAATTTGTCTATCACTAATTATTACAATGAAAAGTCTGGCCCACTGACTAGATCGCGTATGATTACTGGACAAAGCAAAGGCAGCAACTGACGCCCATGCAGAACAACAAGGCTATGTCATTGTTGCCAAACGCAGAAAAGGGTAGGCAATAAAAAAGTGGTGCCATGTAACGTTTATGTACACCCCTTTCCTAGTACACCTTCACCGCTACGAGAAGTACCTAGCCAACATGCTTCTTTAAGCTGTAGCAATTATTTTTTGCTCAGGGATAGGTGAGCTTCGGTATCTCCGTCTCGTGTATTGCCAATCATGAATTATAAGCCTTTTATAATTAATGCTAACATTTCTATCTTCATTCTTCAGCTTGTGACGCCGAGTCGTTGACACGAACTAGCACATCCGACCACGATGATCTTGATCGCGTGTTAGGGCCACTTGTCTACCTTCGTAGATAGAGGCCCGTGGAGCAACACATTCCGGCCATTTATTGCGAGACCGAAGAGTGAAGCTATTAGTGAGTGTGCGCAAGGTTAAATACCAAACTTTTGATTCGTACTCTTCTGTCTGTCTGTAAATAACGCGGCTAGGTGTAGCATACGCGTACTACGTGCGATCAAGTCTATCTTCCCCTAATATGTATACTCGCCCCTCTGAATAAGAGACTATTTGTAGGAGACAAACCCTACATGAGAGTCATAGAGTCGCCGAACATTTCAAACTATATAGAATTTTGTATGCCGTTCTCTAAATAAGCGACTAAAATTGAAGACACAAAAAACGCTCGTCCATTTAAGTGCAAATCGTCTTTTATGACTTGCTACCCTTACTTCTGCTGCTTGAAAGAAGCACGTGGCGTGTGATGTGACAGTTGTTCTAGCGAAGATTACCAGAACCTAAAGCCGATTCGGCAACGTCATTGGACCTCGGACAAAAACTAAGGGAAATACGTAGATCATGTCGTAAAAGGCGGACTTATAACGCACCATTTACAGATTAAGTCATGCAGATAAATACAGCAGCCAAAATTTAATGATGTTGTAAGGCAGTAGATAGGGAGGAGTAATATTAAGTTTCCATAACTTTTTACTACGCCACGAATTTGACACGTATACCCGGAAAATCTTAGCTCTTGTCGACATCAATCCCACGCAACCAATAGGTTCAACTAATCGAGTATACCTCTTATAAGTACAAAGTCATTTCGCAGATTTATAGAACTTCCAAGTAATGCTTAACGAAGTGCAGACGTATACAAGCATTCAGTTCTAGCACAGCATGAGTAAATCAACGGCGCATCGGATCATAGACATGAGCGAAACCAACTTTGCGAACCCAACTTTAAGTTGGATAAGAAACGACGTTTGACGCATCCTGAGCTCGAAAAAGAGCTGCTGGCATCTATTCTCGAGCGCGAGAGTGACGAAATATCCGAAAATCTGGTCCAGGGAAGCAGGCCGACTGAAAATAAGCCACTACATCAAATATCAATATCTTACAATTTTCCAAGGCTGCCCCATAATTTTAAGAAGCGGAGCAACATCGAAAGCCGCGCGATGATCGGCGAGATTCGGGATCTTATGTACTGAGGAAGTGCAAGCAGCAAAGTCTGATATCTGATTAAGTAATATTTCCGAGTGATGTGTTTTTACTTGAGACAGAAAATATTTACGACTCGCCACCGAACAAGATCATTTCTCAGTTTGAAACAATGGTGATAGGAGCGTAAAGTCACGGATGACATTTTCCTGTGCTGCAATACAATTGATTCTAAAAATCTGGAGCCCGTGATAGTAGGTAAGTTCATTGAAACCAAGGTGATTAAAGGGTGTAGAGATCGAGAAGCGTGGCATCACATACGCTACAAACTCAAACGCCTGGATGACTGGAACTATCTTTGATAAGTGGCTCATACAACTCAAAATTTCAAAAGCATGGTCGCAAATAAACTGCTTTTTCTCGACAACGCTTCCAGTCACAAAGTAAGACAAAAACTCAACAACGTTGCTGGGGTCTTTTCCCGCCTAACATGACTTCCACCGTCCAATCGCTCGATGCGATTACGCATACATATCGATATCCATGTAGATATGCGCACCTACATAGATAAATTATAATAAACAACACCCGATTTTTAAATGCTTGCTACAAAAAACAGTGTATGCGACGGCGCATGAAAATCGATTGAAGCAAACATACTACGCAGACTCAGTGTCCCAGAAGCCATTGAGTTTGCATCTGAGAGCCGGAACAGCATTTTTCAGGTATTCATTCGAAGTTTCCGGATCAAGAGTGAGATCATTGAAGTGCGACATGTTGCAGATTAGCGTGCACAAATGGGTATCGAAAATCCATCCGCGCCTTCCAACGATACTGCGGCGATCTGGATGACATGATTATAAATCTAGGAGTAACCGTTATCGTGTAGGATTATGTTGAGATCGAGGACCACAAGCATATTCCT